CAATTAAGAAAAACTGAATAACAGAATCTTTGCTCTGGATGGGTGGTGAGGAGGGGATGGGAGAATGTCTGATGGAAGTGTGTAAATTTCTAAAGAGTGACCATAAAATTGTTTACTAAAGCATAATATGTTATACTAAGGCGCTAACCTTCAAACTTGAAAAGGGATAATTTTAGGCCAAATAAAAGGCAATTCACATCTAATCATAAACTGTTGTAAGGATTAAAATACATGTGAAGGCCTTACAACACCGCCTGGCCCATCGTAAGTTCTTGGTAAATGTCAGTAGAAGTCGTTATTTATTTTCGAGATTCTTATTTGAAGAGGTGGGGAAGAGTACCGACTAGTCTGAAAAATAAACGTATGTTCAAAAAATAGATTGACACTGTGCAATATAGTATGGTAGCTACACCTAAGTGTGTGTGCCGAAGGAAGTCTGCTAAAGGAAGAGAGGATTTGACGAGATGGAGCCAGAGCCAGTTTGGGACATTTGTGTGTCCCCTAGAGCAGGGCCAGGCACCCTTCTGAGCACTTGGTGAAAGCTGTGGATGCTCTCCCTGGAAAAGAGCACATGTCCATACACGTGACATTTTGCATATAATTTGCCTATAATATTTGCATATATTTGCATATAATTTGCAGCTGCAGTCCATCCACAGATCCCTCTGCTTTAGGGGTCGATTCATTTATCCTTGGACTGAGTCATTATTTCAGTGACTGTTTCCTTTAAACCTGGACTACAGGTTGCGTACCATTAGAGGAAACCCAGAAGACTGAAAACCCTCCGGTCTCATTTGCCTCTTCTTTGCCCCTTATTCGTCTTCTCATAGGAGGCACAACACGGTCAGAAGAAACAAGTAGAGAGTAAAAGCCAGATAGAGGTAATATGCTTTAGTAACACTCACTGGGGGCCTGCTGAGAAATGCCGAGTGTGGCCAAAGAGGGCATGGCTGCATGGGCCTCGTCCCCAAGTCCCTCTTCTAAGTGCCTTTCCTGAATGGAGAGTCTCTAGGCTCCCAGGCAAAGCCGTGGATCTCGTATTCAGGCTTGTTCCTCATGGGGCCACCTCACACCTGTTGCCAGAGCTCCAAGGCAGGCGCTCCTCCGTGATAATGATGGCCAGGGAGAGTCTTCTCCATCGGCCTCTCTTTTTCAAGTCTTTCTTGTCTCGCCTCTGGTCTCTTCCCAGCTCCAAAGTGGCAGGAACTCCTGGCTAGCCAGAGTACTACCCTTGGATTTGTGTTCCAGGTGCCAGATGCTCACCCAGGCAGCCCCCCTCAAGAGGATTAGGGACAGCGGGGACTCCACCATGAACTCCGGATCATGCCTAAGTGCCAGCACGATGGCCATTCCCACCATCGCTGGCAGCAGCGCGGCCATGAGTGCCTGCAGCAGCAGTAGCATCAGTGCCCGTGTAAGGAGGCGTCCAGGGCCGTGGAGCAGGGCGCAGCAGGGCTAGGGGGAGGGGTGGCAGGGCAGGGGGGTGGGAATCTGAGAGGACCTGAGTCTCCTGTCTACACCCCAGCACGAGACCCTGCATAGATTGAGCACCAGGCTGACTGGAGCAGTGATAGCAGTGACAGTGGCCGTAATGAGGAGGAGAACTCAAGGGTAGTGATTGAGTATCCAGGAGTTCTCTCTTCCCACAGAAAGCTCTTCTGGTCTTGACCACTAGGACTTTGTGCTGGACCAATGCATGGATGTTGCTTACTTTTTGCAGCTCTGGGGGTTCTCTGTATGTGACAGCGCAGGGGTGGGGAGTGGGGGCGGTGACTGGAGGTGTGACTACGGGATACGACTTTGTGTTTCGTGCGGCGTGTGTCTATGTTGTGTGTGGATTCTTGTGTCTCCTTGGGTGTGCTGGTGGGTGCATTTGCTGCCCTGGGGACCAGGGGTCATCTCACCCCTCCATCTGTGCCATTTTGGGCTTGTTTGCTCTCAGATTCACACACTGCCCTGCCCTGCTTTGCTGTGAGCGGGCTGGAGATTGAAAAGTGGGAGGAATGGAGAAGCCTGGGTATTTCTCTTTCTCCCTCTCGGCTTTTGACAGTGTCTCCATCAGCAGCTGCGTCTCCCTGTGAATCCAGTCCCCACCAGACAGGCCTCTGGGCTCTGAGAACCCCATCCTGTCCCCTAACCTAGATGTGGTAGCACCTTCTTGATGTTGCTAACTTCGGGGTTACTTCACTCTCCCCTGGTTGTGCATTAAATTCCTTGTTTTGAACACCCAGAGTGGCTTCTGTTTTTCTGGTTGGACCTGACTGATGCACCAACTGGTGTTTATAATAAATTACCCTCGCTCCCCCACGTTGCCCTTTCTCCATAGGCAAATAAAATACTGTATTGGCCATCTGACACTGTAAATATTGAAACTGAGAGTGTGAGCTCCAAGAAGGAAGGGATTTGTCAGTCTTGTTCACCATTATAGTCCTGGCACCTAGCACAGTATCTGGTGTATAATAGGTAGTCAACAAATATTTGTTGAACGGATGAATACGTCCTTATGTTATGTAACTGTATAAAGGTGATACTTGGTCAAAGATAAAATAAGATGGCAGTGAGTTGAGCATTCATAGCAATGACTGTGGTAGGAAGAGGTACCTGGTTCACTCTCCTGTGTTCACCTTGCCGTCCTAGGGGTTCCCGTGCCCCTCGTCAAATAGAGAGGGGTTAGGGATCAGCCCACAAAAGGATGTTCCATTATAGACGGGACGCACTGGCACACTGCACCTCTAGCATCCTCAGGAGCAGTGCCTGGAGGGGCCCCAAAGTCAGGGCCTGGGGTGGAGTTGGTTGCAGGCAAATCGACTCCCTGCTCTGCTCCACCAGCCAGATGAGGGATGGGAGAGGGAATGGTGGCGTGTCTGTGTCGTCTGGAAAAGTGCCTGGGATAGAGCGCTCCAGCTAGGAGAGGCTGCTGTAGTGAAGGGCCAGGACAGGGAGAAAAAGGAGGAGGAGGCAGCACCCGAGGGGAGCGGTCCCTGAGGGTGCGCTGAGGAACAGAACAGGCAGACTAAGACTGCTAAGTGTGCCGGTTGGAATGGCCAGATGGGGTGGCCCAGGGAAGGCTTCAGGGGCAGGGTCGCAGGGAATCTAATTGGAAAACCATTCCAGTGACCTTGAAAGAGGTAATAGCCAACTCGAGGGCCTGCCTGCTCCTCACCTTCTCTCTCCAGACCATCCCCCAGGGGCAAGGGGTGATGTAATTCGTTACTTTCTGGAGGTGGGGAGATCTTTGCCCCTTCTCTGGGTCTTTGACTCAGACCTCACTAATGCATCCTTTCTTCTCCCCCTTCTCGCTGCCAACTGAACAGCCTGCCAGCTCCATGGACACTCAGATATGCTTCCCAGAGAAGCAGGACAAAGTGAGGAAGAGAGTCATCTGGGGCATTGAGGTGGCTGAGGAGCTGCAGTGGAAAGGCTGGGAGCTAGGGAAGGAGATCACCAAGAACCTCGTTCTGAAAAATCTCTCCTGGAAAATCCAGAAGATGAAGTACAGGTACCAGTGGGCGGGGTCAGAGACCCAGCGCCCGAGCCCTCAAGCCCCCAAAGCAGGCACTTAAAAAAAACAAACTTTTAAAATGTTATGTAAAATCAGAAGAGTGTACAAGACATGTACGGTTTGGATAATTATTGAAAGTGGAACCATGCGACCAGGTTGAATAATGGAATAATAACAGTGTCTGAAGCCCACCTTCTCCCATTACATGCCCCGCCCCTATTGGAACACCTTCCCTTCCCATAAAGGTACCCACCATCCTCACTATCATGATAATGATGTCCTTGCTTTTCTCAAATAGATTAACCACCTATATTTGCGTCCCTAAATGATATAATTTAATTTTACCTTCTTACGAACTTTAGATAAGTGGAATAATATGGTATACTTTTGTCATTCTTTTATTTTGCTCAATTATGTTTGAAGACTCATCCATGTGCAGCTATAGTTCATCCTTTTTAATTGCAGTATAATATTCCAACATATGCTTATATTATAATGTGTTCATTCATTCCTCTGTTGAGGGACGTTTGGGTTGTTGCCAGTTTGGGACTGTTATCAACAATCATGTATGCATCTCCCCTTGCACAAGTACAAGCGTGTTTCCAGGGTAGATACATAGGAGGAGAATTGCTGTGACTTAGAACATGTACGTATTTGCTTTGCGTAGCTAAAGTACCTATTTTCCAAAGTACCTGTATCCGTTTATATTCCCACCAGCCACATATGCGTTCTCATTCCTCCACATCTTTACCAACAATTGTTATTGTCACGATTTAAAATTTTTGCCAAAATGATAATTTGTTGTGGTTTTAATTTGCATTTCCCTGATTACTGATACAGTTGGGTGTCTTTTTGTATGTTATTGAATGTGAATGTGAATGTGTTAATGTTTGTGAAATTCCTGCTTAAGTCTGTCCTCATTTTTCTACTAGATCATCTTTTTTTTTTTTTTTTTTTTTTAGTAGAAGTTCTTATCCTGGGTACCAATCCTTTGTCAGTTATGTGTTGTAAATATCTTCTCCCACCTTGTGGCTTATCCTTTCCTCTCTTGATGTCTTTTGAAGAAAAGTTCTTCATTTCAAAGGAATCAAATGTATTGATCTTTTTATTTTATGGTTGATAATTTTTTGTCTTGCTTAAGAAGTCCTTCTCTACCCCTCCCTGGGTCATGATATTCTCCCACAGTATCTTCTAAAACCTTTATAATTTTGCCTTTCATATTTGTCTTTTATTTATATGGAACTGAATTTTGTGAATGGTTTGAAGTAGGGATCCAATGACATTTTTTCCTCAACCAAATGTCCGATTGTCCCAACACCATCTATTGAAAAGTTCATACTGTCCGTGGTGATCTCCCCCACCGCTGATGTATGGCGAGTGTCTGTATATGTGTGGGGCCATTTCTGAGCTCTCTATTTTGTCTCCTTGCTCTACCACTCTCTCCCTGAGTCAGTATCATTCTGAACTAACTATTAGAGCTTATAGTGAAGCTTGATACATGGTAGTGTAAGTCCTCCAACTTCGTTCTTATTCGATTGTCTTGGCTATTCTCGGCCCTTTGAACTTTCATATAAATCTTCAAATCAGCTTACACATAAAAAACTTTTTGAGATTTTGATTGGGATTTAATTGAATTTGGGGAGAATTGACATTATTAAAAATTGAGTCTTTCAATTCAGGAGACTGGTGTATCTTGATATTTATTTAGGTGTTCTTCCATATCTCTCAATAAAGTGTAAAATTTTCTCCAGAGGTGTCTTACATATCTTTAGTTAGCTTTATTCCCAAGTATTTATATTTTTGATGATGTTATATATGGTATCTCTTAAAGTTGTTTCATTTTCTGCATGTTCCTATTTTTTTAGAAAGTCATTTTTTTGTGTGTGAGGAAGATCACCCCTGAGCTAAAATCTGATGCCGATCCTCCTCTTTTTTTTTTTTCTGCGAGGAAGATTGGCCCTGAGCTAACATTTGTGCTCATCTTCCTCTACTTTATATGGGACGCCACTACAGCATGGCGTGACAAGTGGTGCATTGGTGTGCGCCAGGATCCGAACCTGCCAACCCCGGGCCGCCGAAGCGGAGTGCGTGCACTTAACCGCTTGCGCCACTGGGCCGGCCCCCAGGAAGTCATTTTTTATGTGGATGTCTTGTGCATAACCTTATTGTGTCCAGCAACCTTGATACATTCTCTCATTAATTCTAATCATTTGTTTGTCAATCTTCTTTTCCATGTACACATTCATATTTTATACGGAAATGGCATTTTTCTTTCTTCCTTTCCAATCCTTATGCCTTTTCTTTCTTGATCTTTCCTTGTTGTTAAACAGAAGTGGTTATAGAAGCCGGCCTTGTTTTATTCACGATCTCAAAGTGAAAGATTCCAATGTTTCACCGTTAATTTGGGTGTTTCCTGTAGTTGTTTTGTTCTGTTTTGTCTTTTTAGACTGTATCAGGTTAAGGAAATTCCCTTCTATTCCTAGGTTGCTGAGAGTTTTTCTCATAAATATATGTTGAAGTTTATCTAATATTTTTCTTTATTGAAGTGATCATTTAATTTTTCCTCTCTTAAATTGTTAATATGGTGGGTTACATTAACTGATTTTTCTAAACCTAAATATTCCTAGGATAAGCCCAACTTGGGCATGATTGAGTATCCTTTCTAGATATTGCTAAATTCTTTTGGCCAATATTTCGTTTGTGGGTGAGATTGGCCTGTAATTTTTGTTTCTTCTCTTGGCTCCTGCCTCTGTCAGGATTTGGTAACAATGTTATGATGGATTCACAGAATATGTTGGGCAGTGGTTCCTCATTTTATATTATCGGGAAATTAAGGCTGGAATTATTTTTTATCAAATGCTTGTTAGGACTTACTGTGAAGTCATCCAGCCTAGTGTTTTTTGTGGGAAGATTTTTGACTACTTATTCAATTTCTTTGATCATTTTTAGGTAGGGTGGCCATAAGATTTATTGTATAATTCTTGAGTCAGTTTTGCTAAGTTATACTTTCCTAGGAATGTGTTTCTTTCATCTAAAGTTTAACATTTATTGGTACAGACTTGTTGGCAATATCTTATTAATATTTGTGAAGTCTGTAGGATCTGTGGTTTGGACCCATCTTGGAGCCCTTGGAAAGGCATCCCCAGTACCTCTGTTCTCAGCCTTGGTTTCTCCCAGCTAAGCGCTCAGGCACTAGGTCACATCAAGGAGCCTTCCCCACCCCCGTCCCTGCTGACTCCCACGTGCACCAGAGGTACCAGTGCTGCTTCCTCGCAGCGCATCTATTCATTCAGTGCTCTGACATCCTGAAGTGAAGGGCTGCCAGAAAAGTTGTAGGATGAGGGAGACAGGTCCTCCTGTGACAGAATCCCCTTGTTTCCCCCTCCATAGTCCTAAGGACCCAGCCTCCTCAGCTTTCCAGGGTCTTCCCTAACCTTTCTCCTCGTTCTAGTTTTCTGAGCAATGATCCTGAATTGCTTATCTCCTGGCTCTCTCCCGCAGGCCCCCCAAGACTAAGTTCTTCTTCACGGTCATCCCTCAGCCCATCTTCCTGAGCCCGGGCATAACCCTCACGCTCCCCATCATCTTCCGGCCTCTGGAGGAGGTAAGGTCTGCCACGGCGAGCAGAGAGCAGGGAGGGACACAGGCACAGTGACCTTGGAACAGGAGGCCGGGCAGAGCAGCAAGGAGCTCCCACACACACACAGCCTGCCAGCTGGAGGAAAAACTCCAGCTTGGGAAGCCCTGGAGGGGCTCAGACCCTAAACTCACTAGACAGAGGGGGTTCCCAGTTGGATGTTGGAGGTTAAACGCTGTGCTACTGAATCAGCCCTCAGAAAGCCCTAGATTCCTTGGCCTCTTCCTACTCTCAAAACATTCCCCCAAATATGTTGTTCCTCACAAAAGAGGCCCCATATCTCTGAGACCAAGACAGTGTTGGAGCATAGGTAACTGACCCTCTCCTCAGAGACTGAGATGGAGGGCCATGGCCCAGCCCATCCCTCAGTGGTTGTGCTGGGGAGATGGCCAAGGGCTAGAGTGGGATGTGTCGTCCCTGAGTCCCACCCAGGTACCACTGACCAGGGACTCCCTCTGCCCCCGACCCCCCGCACTGCAGAAGGAGTACATGGACCAGCTGTGGTTTGAAAAAGCAGAGGGAATGTTCTGTGTGGACCTGAGGGCCACCCTGCCTTGCCACAATCTGACCTGCCCACCATTCCTGCAGTTGCCCATGTGTGCCGTGGGGGACACGGCCGAGGCCTGGTTCTGCCTGGACAATGTGGGGTGAGGGGAGTGGCTGAGGCTCAGAAGTGTGCAGAGCGGGAACCATGAGGAGGGTTCCTGGGAGCGGGAGAGACTGGTGTGTCTGGAGGGGGCAGGGGGTGGGGGGAGTAGAGAGGGCTGCCCAGCATCTCCATCTTTCTAAAGCAAGGGCAGCGGTCAGAATGAGCCCGGTGGCTCTGACCTGCACCCCCCTCCAGGGACCTGCCCACCTTCTTCAGCTGGGACTTCCCCAGCCCGTTCCAGATGCTGCCCACCACGGGGCTGCTGGAGCCAGGCCAGGCCTGCCAGATCAAGGTGACCATTCAGCCCCTTATGGCGATCATCTATGAAGTTCAAGCCACGTGCTGGTACGGGGAGGGCAGCAAGCAGAAGAGCAGCATCCAGCTGCAGGCTGTGGGTGAGGCCCGAGCTCTCACCTGTCCCCAGGGCTCACCTGTGCACCTCCCTGGGTCTCAAAACCTCACTGTGCCACCTACCCCACCTGCCACCCTGGCCTGGCCCCCATGGGACCTCCGGCAGCTTCCTGCCCTCCCCCCACCCTTCAGGCTTTGCCTTTTCTTTGCCCTCCTTGGTGTCACAGGCCAATGTTTCCCTGGGGACACCTGCTTTCTTCGAGGGGCTGTTCAGCAGGGGCCGCAGGGGCCCTGGTGGGTTTCTCCTCAAGACCCCCCATCTCTGCCCCAGCCAAATGCGCCCAGCTGCTGGTGAGCATAAAGCAGAAGCGACCAGAGGACCAGGATGTCGAAGGCTTCCAGAAAGTGCTGCACTTTGGCTCCGTGGCTGTGGGCTGCACTGCCAAGAGGCAGATCAAGCTGTATAACCCGTCAGTGGTATGCGACCTGTGTGTGTGGGGGGGGGGGGGCAGAACAACCCCGAGGGGCTGTTCAGTCAGGGGCCACAGGGCTGGGTGCTCCGAAAACCCGCCGCCTTTACAGCATACGCCTTTCTCTTCATACCCTTGGCCCCACGCCTCACGTCACCTATGTCTGTTGATACACACGTGTGTCAACAGGTGTCCCCCTCTCCTCTCAGCTGGAGGCTGGGCTGGGGTATTGCTTGACCCCCAGAGCAACCCCAAGAGCAGCCCTAAGATTGTCCTGACTCCAGGACCCCAACTAGCCTTTATGGTACCTTTGGGAAAAGAAAAGCGTGCCCCCTCTGGGTGGTCCCTGTGCAGGGCACACAGCTTGGTCCCTTCCTTCCTCCTGGTGAACGTGGCCTCACCCCACACTCAAAGCTGACAAGTGGGGTGCAGGCTGGATGCCAGCTGCCCTCACTCCCTGAGTGGGGCACCTCTATAATGGCAGACTGCCCCACCCTGTGACCTGACCCTTCCTGTCCCCACCTGGCCCCGCAGGTGAGCGCCCCCTTCAGGATTGAAATGGCCTCAGACACACTGGCCAAAGACCAGGCCTTCTCGTGCCCCACGGCCCATGGCATCGTGCCCCCAGGAGAGAAGAGATGGGTGTCGGTGTTCTTCCACCCCGAGACCCTGGACGTCAGAACTATGGACTACTTGTCCATCATGCCCTCTGGCTGTACCTCCCAAACCCTGCTCCAAGTCGTTGGTTTCTGTAGAGGTACTGGCAACCCCAGGACGCTGCAGTCCCCAGGAGCAGCCCACACTTAGGATGGCAAGTGCTCCTTGCCTGCTCCTAAGAGCCGGATGCCTCCTTGCCCTTCAGCCTGGGTGTCTGCTGCCCCCTGGTGGGCTCAGTGAGGAATCAGTTGCAGACACCTGGAGATGTTGCCACCCTCGCCCCTGGTGATGCTGGAGTTCTGCTCAGGCCACCGGGGCTCCTGGCCTTTCCAGCCTCCCATCTCCCGGCAGCACCACCTCCCATGAGTTGGACCCTTTCTGAGACATCCTTGGGGAGGCTGGTACCCCAGCCCCACCCAGGTGGCAGGGCCCACTCACGGGGACCGCATCTCCTACGCCCAGGTCCTGATGTGTCCCTGCAGCACTACTGCGTCAACTTCAGCTGGGTCAACCTTGGGGAGCGCTCTGAGCAGCCCCTGTGGATTGAGAACAAGTCGGACTGTACGGCCCACTTCCAGTTTGCCATTGACTGCCAGGAAAGTGTCTTCAGCATCAGACCTACCTTTGGGACACTGGTGGGCAAGGCCCGCAAGACCCTGCACTGTGCCTTCCAGCCCACTCACCCCATCATCTACTTCCGGCGGGTGGCCTGTCTCATCCACCACCAGGTGAGAGGTGGGAGACAGGGGAGGAGGGGCTCCCCTAGGAGCTGGAGGGGCCCCTCTGAGGCCTAGTGATGAAGGCAGTGCTTGATGCTCACTCTCTTGTGTTCTGGAACTTCTGGGGCTGTCTGCCTGGATCATCTCCTCCAGGGCCCCAGCCTAGCTTTTGGAGAGAGAGCATGGGCGGGGCACATGAAGCCCAGTCTGGGCCAGGTGGATGTGTCCATCTTGCCCTCACTGTTGCCAGGCCAGGGACTGTTCTGCTGCTGCTGCTGCTGCTGGGCTGTGAAGAGGGGGGATTGGATCTCACCCCACACAGCATGTGCAGGGCAGAGAGTCTTGAAGCGAGGACCCCAACCCAGGCTCCTGGGCAAGGTGGTACAAATGGTGCCCTGGCCAGCTGGTGCCTGGCCAATGTGGCGAGTGGGGGCTGAAATCTAGCTGCTCATGGACAAATGTCATAGGGCCCGCTGTTCCTGGACCTGCTCGGGACCTGCCACTCAGACAGCACCAAGCCTGCCATTTTGAAGCCTCAGCACCTCACCTGGTACCGCACACACTTGGTACGGGGCCTAACGCTCTACCCTCCTGACATCCTGGGCATCATGCTGCACGAGAAGAAGTTGGAGCAGGATAGGAGCGGGGCCCTCATGATTCCCACTGAGGTATGGTGACCCCTCTGGGTCCCCCGGAGGCAGGCTACCTTCCCCAGGTGCATGCTTTCTTCTCTAGCAATTCTTGGGCAGTCCCGTGCCGCCATTAGTAGTTGGGGGTGACCTGTGTGGAGCTCTTGTAGCCTTTTCCAGAAAGGAGCCTGCAGATCAAGGGCAGCGGCAGGGGAATGGCAGTTGGTCTCTCCCCACGCAGGACCTGGAGGACACGCCAGCCCCGCAGTATCCCCTCATCCCCCCCATGGCTGAGTACTTCTTCGACGGCAGCAATGACATGGCCATATTCCCCCCGCCCGTCAGCATAGAGCCTGTCGAGGTGGATTTTGGTGCCTGTCCTGGGCCCGAGGACCCCAGCCCTGTCCCCCTGTGCCTGGTGAACCACACCAAGGGCAAGATCACCGTGGTCTGGACGCGCAGGTCCGACTGCCCCTTCTGGGTGACCCCAGACACCTGTGATGTGCCCCCGCTCAAGTCCATGGCCGGGCGCCTCCACTTCCGGCCGCCTTACCCCAACACCCTCTACGCCGTGGAGCTCGAAGCCTTCGCTGTCTATAAGGTGTGTGCAGGCAGACGAAATGGGGAGAGACAGGGTCTCTGGCCTGGAGCCTGAATGGCAGGGTGGGGTTGGAGGGGGTGACGGATGGCTGCAGTAGGATCCTTCCTCTCTGCCAGGCTCTTCTCCTTGGCTGGACAGCGGCCTTACTGGTTTATCTTCTCCCAGCCTCAAGGCAGCCAGGCCTGCCTTGGCTGGGGGGCTTCTTGGCCCATCTGATTATGTCTCATTCATATGTGGCCTCCCACACCCTCCAGAGGGAGGACTCAGCTAGGGTCAAGCCCTTTGGGAAAATTTGGTGCACAGGGAGTAGCTCCCTGAGGCTCCTGGCTAGAGGGACTCCTGGCTTTTCTCTAGTCCTTGAAGCAGGAAGTGGTACCTCTAGAAGAGCCGTGGGCAGGATCCATATCGTGGGGGACAGAGTCAGGGGCACCGGTGATTAGGCGTGTGCGGGAGGGGCTTCTAGCACAACTTCTGTTTGCCAGGGAATCAGAGCACAGGCTGTCCCCAGCCTAGGACACATCAGTTCTGCCCTTTCCCTCCCTTCTCAGCTCTGCCTACCCTGCTATTCTCTCCCACTGGCCCAGGTCCAGGGGCCAAGAGAAGAGTAGAGCAGTGCAGTCAAGATCAGAGTCCCTTACCAGCTGTGTGACCCTGGGCAAGTCCCTTAATGCCTCTGAGCCCTGGTCTTTTCATCTGCAAACTTGGGGTCATGTCCGAACTTTCGAGAAGGCTTTCCAAAGCTGAGTCTTGCATTACCTCTGTTCCAATTCCTTGGCAGTGGGGGAATGGGGAGGTTTGTAGGAATAAGATGGTGGACACCTGGCTTGGCTGGGGCTGAGCCCGTCAGATTTTCAGGCTACAGGCTCTAGCCCTATGCTGTCGGATACGGCGGCCACCAGCCCCAGCTGGCTACTGAGCACGTGGAGTGTGGCTGGTCCAAACTGAGATGTGCTGTGAGCATAAGAGACACGCCAGATTTCCACTACTTAGCACGAAAAGCGTGCAAAATATCTCACACGTCACTTATATATTGATTATGTGTTGAAATGATAAGATTTTGGATCTATTGGGTTAAATAAAACATATTATTGAAACTAATTCCCCATGTTTCACTGTGTGACTGTGGCTGCTGGAACATTTGAAATGACGTCTGCGGCTTACATCTGTGGCTCGCGTTCTGTTTCCATTGGCTGGCGCTTCTCTAGGCGCATTCCTGCAGGATGAATGTGGCTTTCACATCCCAGCCCCAGCCTCGTCCCGGGCTGTCGTGAGGATTATGGAGCATGTTTGCCGAGTGCTCAGTGCATGGCTGTGATGACTGTTGTTCCCTGCCCTGTCTTCCCAGAGCCCCAGGCAGGACTCTCGCAGTACAGGGGGGCAAGTTGGGGAGCCCCCAAGGTCGGACGCAGGGTCCTGAGCTTGTCTGTGGGTCTGGCCCCTGCAGGTGCTGCAGAGCTACAGTAATATCGAGGAGGACTGCACCGTGTGCCCGTCCTGGTGCCTGACGCTCCGGGCTCGAGGCCACAGCTACCACCCCAGCTTGGAGCACCACGTCCCCCAGTATTCCCTGGATGCCCCCAAGGTAGAGGCAGTGGGAGGTGGGACGGGGGAGCCTGGCTTCCGCTCTTCCCTCTCTGATGGCCTCAGAAACACATCCCACCACCCTCCCCGGTCGTCCCACCCTCCCCACCGCCAGCCCCGGGGCTCTGGGCCAGTGGAGGACTCTCTCTGGGGCCTCAGCACTGGGCCTGGGGAGAGTCTGGGGCTTGGACTGCTGGCTCCTCCCTGCTCCATCTGAAATACTCTCTGGTCCTCTCACACTGAGCTTAAAACTCTCCAGTCCCTTCATTTGTCCTGTTTACTGAGCACCTGCTGTGCCCCACGTTCTGGACTAGGCCCAAGGAATACGACCACGCACACCATGAGCCCCTGCCTTGGGGGACCGCCGAGGCCTGCGGGGGTCACAGAGCTGGCCCCTTGGCTTAGCCCCTTCTCAGGGAGTCGTAATTCCCAGGCCTCTCTGGAGGGCCCCTGGTGGCCCTGGCTGACCCGAGCAGCAGGATGACATAGGGCTTAAAGCACAGACCCTGGAACCAGACAGCCACGTTCCAATTCTGGTTTCTCCCTTGATGCCTCTTTCCAGCTTCTGATACTATTGTCAGGCTTTTCATCAGTGTTTTTTTTTTTTGGTAAGGAAGATTGGCCCTGAGCTAACATCTGTGCCAATCTTCCTCTATTCTACATGTGGGACGCCTGCCACAGTATGGCTTGATAAGCAGCGGGTAGGTCTGTGCCCGGGATCCAAACCCGTGAACCCCGGGCAGAGTGCGCGAACTTAACCACTACGCCACCGGGCTGTCCCCTCATCTGTCTTTGCTACCCTCGTGCCTCGTATTGCTGGAAAGGTGCCACTTTGGGACAATGTGCTTGGGGGCGATCTTGCTCCTCCCACCAGCTACACTTCTGCCCTCTAGTCCCAAACCTACTCCACCCGCAAGATTCAGCTCGGGGCACCCCTTCCTGAGGCCCTCCCTGACGGCACAGGGTTCCCCTCACCGACCCCCCATCCCTTTCCCTTGACCAGTTCCTCCCAGAGGTCTGTGGCCTCTCCTGCAGTCCAGCAGATTCTGGGCCCATGTCGCCCCCTCGCCGTCTCACACAGTGCACATGTTACCCCAGCTGGATGGATGGGGCGCCCTGGGCAGTGATTCCAGGCCTCGTGTTGCCTAGCCTGCTCAGCTCTCAGCCTGGCACTGGCCACACCTGAGATGCTGATGGAGTGGTTGGAAGCTGGGCTTGTGAGGGCTTTCCCTTTCTCAAAGGGGGTTTCCCCTCAGCCACCTGCATGAGAATCGTCTAGAAGGGGCTGCTTACCCCAGAGCTTCTGGACCAGGATCTCTGAAAGCGGGTTCTCCAAAGGATGATTTGAGGGCACGCTAAAATGCCACAATTTCTACTTAACCTTGAGAAGGATCTCAGAAGCTGGAGTTTCCCAGAGCCAGGTCCTGGGGCCACCCCCTCTCACTGTCTGGAAGTCTCTGGAGGACAGAAGCATTTTTTGGTGCGAGGCTATGGCCTCCCACCATTCCCTGCTCCCAGGGCCTTGGCTGGAGTGTGTGGAGGCATCTTGGATCTCCTTGCAGATGGCCCCACCTGAGCCCACACAGACTGCCCTGACTGTGTGTATGGGGGGTGGGGGGAGGCGTAGATCTGAGCTTGGGTCCCTCTTCTCTCGCACCCCAGCTATTTCCTGCAGTGTCCCCCGGCGACCCCTCCTACCGCAGCCTGCTCCTGGTCAACAAAGGCTCCACGCTCCTCACCTTCAGCCTGGCCCCCAAAAGCAGCTCAGACATCTCCCTGCGGCCCAGCTCAGGCCTCGTGGCCCCTGGGGCCCACCAGATCTTCCTCGTCTGTACCTACCCCAAGGGCAATGCCTGGAAGCAGCACACGTTCTACTTGCAGTTCAATTTTGGCCCCCAGTATCTCAAGGTGGGAGGCAGGGGAAGGGGACTGGGTCCTTGGGAATGGGCCGTAGTCTGGGGCTTCCTTTTTCAAAGCCACATTCTGGGGTTGGCCTCTAACGCTCCCCTACAGCAGCCGAGGGGCCGCTTCTCCTTCAGGAAGTGGCAGAGCAGGGGGAGGACCCCTTGGCCACATTTGTGAATAGCTATCCCAGCCCTCAGGGCCCTGCCCGTCCACCTCAGGGGGTCTAGGACAAGGAAAAGGGCGCAGAGGTCCCAAAGGAAGGAGCAGGGGCAATGCAAGACTCATATCTGCAGGAGGTAGAGGGGTGTGTGGGGCCAGGCCATGGAAAGGGTCCAGAGTGGTGGACCCGTGCCTGCCCCATGAGATGGTCTGTACATCCTCTCTCGGTCCCTGAGTTCTTTCCAAGAACCATCTTCTGGGTCAGTCGCTACTTACTCTGCCTTTGGCAGAAGCTGCCCAGGCCCCGGCTGGCAGAGGGCCTTTTGCTGCCCTCTCCAAGGGGGAAAAGCTGCCCCTCTGTGGCTTCCTGGACGTGTGGGGGAGCCAGGGCTGTGGGGTGAGGTCAGGGCACTGCCCTCCCTCCTCTGGCCCCAGGAGGTGAGCATGCAGAGCCGGGAGGAGCCACTGCAGCTGAGGCTGGACGCTGGCAGAAGCATCTTCTTCAAGCCCACCTGGGTGGGCTGCTGCTCCACCAGCCTCTCCACCTGCCGCAACCCCTCGCGTCTGCCCCTGGAGTTTGAGTGGAGGGTCTCCCAGCAGCACCGAAAGATGCTGGCCGTCCAGCCTGCCAGGGGGCTTATCCAGCCCAACGAAAGCCTCGTGAGTGCCCTGCCCCACTGCCAAGGGCTGGAGGGAAGGGTCCCTGTCATTCTCACTGTCACCATCATCTCTTACTCACGCCTCTCAGGGTCCAGGCTTACTGTGTGACCCCAACCACTCAATCCTAGTCACCTCCCCCAGCCTTGTGAGGAGGTACCACTGTTACCATCATCAGTTTACAAAGAGTTGAGACTTAGAGAAGAAAACGCCACTTACTAAGATTATAAATTAGGAGGCCCAGAGCTGGGACTTGAACTAGGGTTTCTAATGCCAGTGTCCGGGGGAGAGTCCACTCTCCATCCATAGGCCCCACAGCTGTGAGATCACTAGGGGGTAGTTTGGAGCAGCTGGATTTGGGGCCAAATGGGTGGCTATCATTAAGGAGTGAGAAAGGGGACTTCTAGAGGCCCAGTAGCAGCCCGGAGGGGGGCACGGGCTGGGACCCACACTAGCAGACCCCCATCCCTAGAGGGCCTTATAGACTAGTTGGGGAGGCCAAGCTTGGGCCCAGAACCAGCAACGCCTGGTGTCTGTAAGAACCCAGGGGAAATAATCAGCGAGGTGAGAGACCACACAGGCTCTGGAGTCAGCCATGAGAGTCCACACCCCAGCCCCCTCTAGGTGCCTCACCAGCTGTGTGACCTTGGGCTGGTTACCCCACTTCTCTGAGTGTCCACTTTCTCCTCAGAAAACGAGGCACTAAAATAATACCACTTAGCTCGTGGGGATAAAAGATTGAGGGGCTTAGGGAGATAATGTAATATGTGATGTGTGTGAAGTGCCTGGCACAGGGCAGACACTCAGAAAGGGTCACCATAGCTGGATATCCTGTAATCGGACCTCAGATGGCTAGGAGCCTGGCCGGGGTGGTTCCTGGAGATCCCCATGCAGGGATAATCTCTGTGACCCCAGACGCTGACATGGACCTTCAGCCCTCTGGAGGAGACCAAGTACCTGTTCCAAGTGGGGCTGTGGGTCTGGGAAGGCGGCCTGCCCCCAAACACCAACCCCCCCGCCACCACCCACTACATGCTCCGGCTGGTGGGCATGGGCATCACCAGCAGCCTCTCTGTGAGTGGGAGAGCCCTGGCGGGTGGGGGTGGGAACAGTGGCCGGGGCACAGGTGGGAGGGAAGACCCCAGGGTGCCCGACTCCAAGAGGGTAGAGGATGGGAGCCCTCTGGCCCTCCGGCCCGCACCCTGGACCTGCCCTTCCTGGGGATTCTCTGAGGCCAGGGGTGGGAAAGCTGGCACCGTGGGCCTGGGGGAGCCCCCGAGCCTGGGCTGGCTGAGTCTGGCCCTCAGGCCAAGGAAAAGGAGCTGGACTTCGGGAACATGCTGGTGAACAGCAAGCAGTCCAGGCTGCTGGTGCTCCTAAACGCCGGCAGCTGCACGCTCCACTACCGCCTCTTCCTGCAGCAGCGCAGCCCCGAGCTCGTCGGCGACGGTACCCTCGGTACCCTGGGCCGGGACTGGGGCCAGGGAGGCGGGCCGTGAGGGGCAGTGGTTCAGACTGGTTGACCAGACCCTGGTTTGGGGGCCAGCAGAGCACTTGGTGCTTCCACTTTCTAGATGCGTGGCATTGGGCGGGTGACTGTCCTCTCTGAGCCTTAACTTCCTCGTCTGTAAAACGGGGCTATGGTGGCACCTACCTCGCGGGGTTGCCAGGTGTAGCAAAGGGCTTAGCAGGTTCCAGTGACGCAGAGACAGGTCCCCTCTGTCTTGGTCTGGGAGGAGAGACTCTGCTCCCTACTTTCTAGCTCAGGGCCTGCTCTCCTGCCAGTGCTCTTCTGGCCCGGGGGAGGGTATTTGGGAAGGAGCAGGAGGAGAGGCTGGCCTCCCTGGCCTGCACTGAGGGCCTCCTCTGCCCTGACCCCACCTGGGTCATCCCTGAGCAGCTCTGCAGCTGGACCGTACAGAGGGGAGCGTGCCAGCCCGGTCCCAGGACACCATCTGCCTGACCGCCTGTCCCAAACTCCAGGCCCAGTTCTCCTGGACCATCAGCTACTCTCTCCTCTCCCACAGAGGTACTGGGCCATCTGACGCAGAGAGTGAGGACCAACGAGGAGAGGGGGAGGGCTGTGGGAGCAGGACTTGGGGTGGAAGGATGCTGAGGGTCCAGACAGAGCTAGCAGAGTGCGAGCGTGCTAGGGTGTGCCTTTGTCTGATGTACATGCCTTTTTCCACCCACATCTGTCTGTGGGGGCGTCCGTGTCTGTGTGTGCTTGAGCTCTGGAGGACTCAACATGAAGAGCTTGGAGCTGTGCTCATTTATTGTGGGATCTTAGATCCTCAGCTACCCTGGGGCTCAGCCTTCTCCTCCGTAAAATGGAGTTGTTACCAGCCTCCCCCAGTCCTGCTGGGAGGAATCCAGGCAGCACAGAAGAGCCACCGAGAGTGTGGGCTCGAGCCAGACTGCCTGGGGTTGGACCCCGGCCCCAGCGCTGATTAGCCATGTAACCTTAGCAAGTTGTTTAACCTCCCTGTGCCTCAATTTCCACATCTGTAAAATGGGGATATTAACGGTGTGCAGGCAAGAGAAAGGAAGTACTGAGACATGCTACCACATGGATGAACCTTGAAAACATTACACCAAGTGAAAGAAGCCAGGCACAAAAAGCCACATATGTATGACACCATTTAAGTGACAAGTCCAGAATAGGCAAATCCCTAGAGACGGAAAGTAGATTCGTGGTTGCCAGAGATGAGGGGAGGGGTGAATGGAAAGTGACAGCTACTTGGTACCAGGTTTCTTTTTGGGGTGTTGAAAATGGTCTAAAATTAGATAGTGGTGTTGGTTGCACAACTCTGTGAATATATGAAAAACCACTGAATTGTGCGCGTTAAAAGGGTTAATTTTATGGTGTATAAATGATATCTCAATAAAGCTGTGAGTAAGAATTACTAGTTTGAAAACAAATCACGGTGGACATTCAATACACTGATGTGTGGGAAGCACTTAGGACAAGGCCTGGCATGGAAAAAGCATCAGTCAAGGGTCAGCCGTTGTCGGAAGCATCCCGGAGCCTGGGAGACACCTGCTGCTCCTGACCAGGGTCCTGGGACAGGGGGCCCCGGGGGCCCTGCACCCTCAGCCTGCACGCCCCGCTCCGGGCGGTGAGCTTGCTCTCCTCTTCCACATCCCTTTCCCCCAGATAACAAGGTTGGGGAGAAGCAGGAGCTGTGTCACGTGTCCCTGATGGCCGTGTACCCCTTACTGTCCATCCTGGATGCCTGCTCCATGGGCAGTGCCGAGGGCATCACCCGGAAGCACCTGTGGCGCCTCTTCTCCCTGGACATGCTCAACAGTTACTTGGAGCGCGACCCCACGCCCTGCGAGCTCACCTACAAGGTGCCCACCCGGCACAGGTGAGCTGGGCCTGGGGAGGGGCAGGGCCCATCTGGAGATGTTCTTGGGGCTTTCTGCCCACACCCCAGCACCAGGAGCTGTCCAAGAAGTGGCTCCCTATCTCCCCCCAACTTCTTGCCCGTCCCTGGAGGGGCCTGGAGAAGGCAGGGATTGACTGGAGGTCGAAAGTGCCAGCCCACCCCTACCCCTGAGTCCCAGATTCTCCAATTCCCACCTGGAGGGAGATGAGTGCCAAGCCAGCCACCCCTGGGAGGGCCCCATCCTGTCACCATCCCTGTCTCTGAACCCGCTTCTCTGCTCCACACAGCACAAGCCAGATCCCCCACGTCTTCACCCCTCTGAAGCTCGACTTCAATTTTGGGGCAGCACCGATAGAGGCCCCACCTTCTGTGGTGCTCCTGGTCCTGAAGAACAGTGGAGTGGTGCCCCTGGACTGGTATGGCTGGCTGGAGGGGGATGCTAGGGGGCCCAGGAGGCAGGTGCTGGAGGCTTTCTCTTGCTGATGGTAGGCTTGGCTGCATGGTGTCTGTGAAGAGCGGGACCCCCCAGTGATGGGGTGTGGAAGCCAGGGTGGGGCCGGGCTTGCCCAGCAGGACACCGGAGCTGTCACTGGCTGAGACGCATCAATGGTCTCAGCAGTGGTGGAATCAACCTGATGAAGACTGGCACGTTCATCTTCATAGCTTCATGAACAAGAAACATCCATTGAGCATCTGCTGCATGCCAGGCACTGTGCTAGGCCCTGGGGCACCCCTGAGGGAGCCCTGGTCCAGGGGGGCTGGGCCTGCATGAGGGCGAGTTGAAGGTCTCTGGTGAGGAACGACAGGGATCTGCTGCCACCGAGCCGGTGTCGGGGAGGATGGCCTGGCTGAGTGAAGCCGTGTGGGGCTACGGGAAGGGTGGAGGCTGGCCCCGGGGCGGGCTGCACTTCTCCAGTCACAAGGGGCCCAGGCCCGGAGACCTGAGCCCACCATGCCTCGCCCTTCCTGTGCTGCACTTTCCTCCCCCTGGAGCCCCAAACTTGTGCCCAGCGAACATCCCGTTTCCACACCAGGGCTTTTTCTTGTTCTTCCTCCCTGCCTCCACCACGCCCCTTGATTTCCTAGTTAACTTCTTTTTGATGACTTCCAACTTCACTTGGCTAAAGGGAGGTGAGGAAGATGTGTCCCGATCTGGGTCAGGCCTGGGAGAGAGAGCCGGGGGCCCAGCCTGGGCATGACAGTGGGAGGATGAGAGTGAAAATACACAGGCAGGGGCATCTGTGGTCTCAGGAACCCTCCTGCCTGAGCAGAGTCTTAGGGTGTGTGGGGGTGAAGCTGGAGTGGGGCTGCATCGTCGGGGTACAGTGGCCGCCCCTTACTGTCTGGATTGCCCGGCCCCTCCGTGTGGTGGAGGTGCCTGGGGAAGCTGGTTTCTTAGGTGGCTCCTGTCTGAGAAGTGCGGGGACTGTGAGTAACAGAGCTCTGGGCCCTGAATGACTGAGGAGGCTTGGCAGGCAGGGCTGCTGGCCAGGTGGGGCCGGATCCACCATTCACTGGGCTCTGAGTGGCCAGGAGCCAGGCCCTACAGGGCTCGGGGGCGGGGGCAGGGAAAGCGGCGTTGGCCTGCATCCTGGCGTGCAGCAGGGTATTTTGGTGGGTTGTGCGTGTGTGTGTTTGTGTAGGAGCAAGCCAGCTCACACTCTCGGTGGAGAGGGTCCAGGTGGCTGGAAACCGAGGCGAGAGGAAAGCCAGGCAGGGTGCCCACTGAGCTGAGCCGTCCGTCAGGAGACCATCTGAGGTTCAGGAAGGCAGTCCGTGCTCCTTCCAGAATTCTGAGCACAGGCAACCTTCCTTGGAAGGCTGGACTCTCCTGGCTTTTTGTGTTGTTGTGTTTCCTTTCAGTTTCTTAGAAGGCTATTTTTGAAAATTCGAGCCGGTCTCTGCTGAGCTCATAAAGAACAGACTGAAGGTTTTATTCCTGCCAAGACCAGTAAGAAACAGGGAGTGTGGACTTGGCCTGGAGGCAGCAGCAGGCAGGACGGAGTGAGAGCCCCAAGTGGGAGGGGGCCCACCGGGGGAAATAGGGCACCAGAAGGCCGCCCAACCCCCTCCAAGCCTTCTCCTCTGATGCCTCTGCTCTTGGCCCAGGGAGAGGTCAGGTCTCGCATTTAAGGGGAGATTCCTTACGGATGTCAGATATGCTGGTTAACGTCATTTGTTCCCTCATACACTCATTAAGTCATTGGCTAAACATTTGCTGGGGGCTTCCTAGGCAGGGGCTCAGGCTCGGCCTTCAGAATAGAAGTGAGGAGGAGCCCAGGCCCTGCCCTCCAGGTATGGCAGGGGTCTCAGGGCAGACCAACCTTTTGGCACAGGGTGATGTCTGCTGTGAAAGTGTGGGCAGCCCTCAAGGCCACTTCACTCCATTTTGCAATTGATGGTGGGGGGCATACCAAAAAGGCTTCCTGGAGGAAGCTACAATTAAGCTAGACCTGCAGCCTCAGGAGAAGAGAAAGAGAGGCTGTGAAGAGCCTTCCAGACAGAGGGCCTGGCATGAACATTGGTAAGAGAAAAGGGCACAGCGTGGCTGGAGCGTTGATCGGGGGGAGGGAAGGGCCTGGGATGCGGCTGGGGAGGCAGGCCGGGGCCAATGCATGCGGGGCCTCGGAATCCTTCTCCTTCTAGGAGTGTGGACTTCTTCCTGAGGGCATCGATGGGATGGGGGGCAAAGACATGGTCTACTTTCAAGACCTGTCACTCTGGTCTGGGGCGCGGGGTGTGGAGAGAGGAATGGGTCAGCGGCTTGAGGCAGGGGGACAGGTGTGGAGGCTGCTGCAGTCCCCAGATGGGGTACCACGCTAGAAAAGGCAAGGGGGTCGGGATTATTTGGAGGGAGACTGGGTGAGGGCCACAAAGGAAACAGAGGTATTGAAACTACCCAGATGACCCTAAAGGAGCGAGATCTCCAGTTTTGCCACTGATCCGTATCCCCAGATAAAACGACCTGTAACAAGTCAACAATACAAGGGTGATGGGAGAAAAGTAAGAGATGGCTAGCTCCCCCTCCAAGCCCACTCGGAGGGGATGACGAGGGATCAGCATGTGCTCTGCTCTCAGCCTCATACAACGTACAGACACACGGATACGGCTATAGGGTTACTTTGTTTCCCTCGCATTTTTTTTCTTACAGTTATGGCATGAAACTATACATATTACTTCCTGCTCAGCATTATATCAATAACATTTTCATTCCGCATTATACCAATAACATTCCCTTGAGATCAATGCAGATCAATCCGTACAGATTTCAATCATTCTTTTTAATAGTTGCATAATATTCTCTAATATGAATGGACCTTAAGTTATTAAACCACTCCTTTACTGGATGACGTTAGTGGTTCCCAGTGCTTTGTTTTGTTTTGTTTTTTGCCACTACAAACAAAGCTGTAATAACATCCATGGATGTGTGTGTGTGCGCGCGCACACATGCATGCATTTATTCTCGCAGGTTCCCCAAAATGGAATTCTTGAGTCAAAGGGCATATACATTTTTTATTCTAATAGTTGCTCCCAAAGTTCCTACAACAAAAGGTGGCAGCAGCTCCTTCTCTCCCTTCCCATGGGAAGGGGGTCTCTTCTCTCTAAACTCACCGGCTTTGAGTGTAACCATTTTTCGCGTTTCCCACGTGAACATAACGTAAGATTGATTCGAGGGGATTTCGACTCGCATTTCTCCAACTCATCGAGCCTTCTCAGATGTCTTGGCCATTTTCTTTTCCCCTTCTGGCTGCTCCCTGTTCATATCTGCTGCCCAGTTTGAGGCCAGTTCTGTGCCATCTCTCTGAGAGTGAGGGGGTCTCCTTTTCAGATTGTGACCCTGGGAGCCCTCTGTCACTTGTGTTGTCAGCTATTTAGAGTGCAGTGTCTACTTTACTACAACATGAGGAATTTCAGCGGCATTAATTCTCCGCCCAGCCTTGCTTTAGATTCCAGAGTGCCAGCCCTCCTGGAGCATCTGTTCTCTGCCCTGTGCCCAAGCTGGGCGGACACCCTCCCTCTCCGGGCCCCTGGCTGGTGCTGTGGGCGTTCCTAGACACCTCAAATGGCTATTCCTAAGAGCTTTGTCACAGAAACCCCTCCAGGGTTAGTGGCCAGCTCAAAGTGACCCACATATACAAGCGACCCCCTCGACCCTTGGCACCCACAATCAGAGGCCCAGTCTCCACTTCCCATTTAGTCACCACAGCCCTGCTTCTGTTCCCAGGTTTTGAGGCCATTATGGAATGAGAATCCACAACAGCCACATTTGCTCAGCCATGGATGGGAGAGCTTGCCAAATGGGGGCATGAAGTGGGGGGGGAGCGTGGAGGAGCCCTCCATCCGTCCCATCCAGGGCTCAAAACTCCCACCTCTCTGTTCTGACTGAGAGACTCCTCCCTCCTCTTCCAGGGCCTTCCTCTTCCCGAGTGACCAGCAGATCGACCTGGAGCTGTGGGCAGAGCAAGCAGAGTTTGACGCCACCGAGCTGCATCAAATGCGCGTGCTGGACAATTGCATATTCTCCATCAGCCCCAAGGCCGGGAGCTTGAGTCCCGGGCAGGAGCGGATGGTGGAGTTCAAATACAGGTGCTCCCCCACCACCCACCCTGCACTTCCGGTCCTGGAGACCCCCTTTCCCCTGGCTCCTGGACGAGCCTGGCCTTGCACTGTGTGACTCTAGGAGTCCCTGAGTGGCCACCACCCCGGGAGGACCCCACCTTCCCACCTGCAAGGGAGGTTTAATTCCCCTCCTGCTCCATCCCAACTCAGGGGTCTCCACACGCTCCCAAAGGCTAGCCAGCTCAAAGCCACAAGCGTGCCATGACCATTTGTTCTCCCACCTGTACCACAGCTCCATAGCTCATCTCGGACTTGTCTCCTCTCTTCCAGCCACGTGTTCATCGGCACTGATCGCCTCCCGGTGCTCTTCAAGGTGTCCCATGGCCGGGAGATCCTGGTGAGGCCCCAGCACCCTGGTCCTGTCCTGGGCAACCAAGAAAGGAGCAGGACACCAAGGCCCCAGGGAGCTGGGGTCCAGATCTCTCTGCTGGGTGCTTCTGTTCCTCCCGGGAAGGATGCTACTCATGGGCTTTCTATTTCCAGCTGAATTTCGTAGGTGTGACAGTGAAGCCGGAGCAGAAGTATGTGCACTTCACCTCCACTAGCCACCAGTTCATCCCGGTCCCCATCGGCGACCCACTGCCCCCGAGGCAGGTCAGTGGTCTACACTGTCCCGGTCACCAAGAGGCCTAAGCATGGATCTCCATGTATCTGCATCAGCCCTTGATGGGGTGACAAAGACCCCACCCTTCAGAAGTCCTCACTCTAAGAGGTGGGGCTGCAGATTGAACCCTGAGATTGGGCAACTGGGAGAGACCAAAGGCAAGTGGCTTCATCTTCCTGGTGCCTGGTACTAGGGCCTTTGCATTCTCATGCAAAAGAGGGGGGTTCTTTCCTCTAGCACAGGGTTCTTCAAACTTCTTTGACCATGAACCACACTAATATATTTGGGATAATAACCCAGTGCATACATACACATACGACCAAAACAAAAGTATCACAAATCAATACGTACACTACTGCATGCGAAGTACTCTGTTGTTTTCTTTTTTATTTTATTCTTTTCCACTTTTAAAATGCTAGACATGACCCACTAAATTGGTTGCTCACTAATAGGTCTCAGCCACAGTTTGAAAATCCCTGCTGCAAAATCACACACTGGAATGTGAAAAACTGGAACATGAATCCTCGCGAAGCTATAGAATTTTCTTAATTAATTGGAAGGAATCCGGTTCCTTTGCTGTGAAAATGTGCATTGGAAATCTCCAAGAGGGGGACATAGTGTTTTTCCAAACACTTCACAGCTCTGAAATTTTTAACCATTTAGAAGCCCTTGTGTTTCTGGGCAGGGGCCTCTAGCCATTCAGCCTAGAAGCAGAGGAACGGGCCTCCTGGACCTGAGAGGGGGTCTCCTAGCCCCGAGCTCTGTTCACTTCCCTACACCACCCTACGCCACCCTACACCACCCTACACCTACTCTGCCTGCTTTGCAGAATGCCGTGGGGCTAAGCAGAGGCTGCAGAGGCCCAGACCCTTGAAAAAGGAAAGCAAAGACTCATGTGCTCCCAGAGAGCTTTCCAGAGAGACCAGACCACTTCCCTGTGGCCCTGAACATAGACAATGGAAAATGCCCCCAGATCCAGAGCCAGGAGACCCCATTGTACCTCCAACCAGACTCCACAACTGTGGCCAAGCTTCCTCCTTCATTCATGAGATGGTGACAGATGGTGGTCTGGACCTGCAAGAGGGCAGTGGAAACAGAGAGAAGTGAACAGATTTAATTTACATTCTGGAGGCAGAATCATTGAGACTTGCTGGGGATTGGATCTGGGGAGTAAGAGAAAAGGAGGGATTAAGGATGTGTGGATTCCCAGTTGGAGCTCCTGGGAATATGCAGTGCCATTTGCTGACAGGAGATAAACTAGGGGGAGGAATAGACGTTAGAGTGAAAAGTTTGATTTTGGCCAAATTTAAGATGCCTATGAGACAACCAAGAGGGGTTGTCAAGTGGATGTAGGATAACAAGTCTGAGCTCAGGGCGTGGTCCAAGCTAGAGAAATAAGTCAGCATATTCAGTGCTGAGAAAGATGTGGGGGCCAGGCCTAAACCCAGATGAAGTCTTTATTCCTTCTGGCTTCCATTTTCTCATCAAATGTAGGATTGGACCAGAAGATCTCGGGTTTCTTCCAGGATGTTCTGTGATTCCCAAACTTTGGAGTTAGTCTTGGGAACCTCAGACCTTCCTTTTGCTCCCTTATCTGCCTTTGAGCAGGACTGCCTCTAATGGGAGATGTGGAAAGCGGCAGCCTCACAGGTGATTAGAACAAGAGCCTAGAAAGCGATGAAGGGTCTGGATGGTGCGTGCATGGACATTTCCCTAAATTCCAACACTAGGGACACGAGCATTAGTGTCCCCTTATACTTTGACAAAGGTAAGTTGAGAGCAAATAAAATAAGGGTACAGATTGTCCCGAAGTGTCACAGTCTGAAAATACAGTTACATCCTCCTTGGGTGATCAAGCCATAGGGGAAATCAGAGGTATTTAGGGGAGCTCTGAGACTGTAAGGTGACATCGTAGAGACCAACCTGTCCTCCCACAGTGGACTCAGAATCCCAGGCTCTCTGCATTGGAGCCCTGCACTGGTGTGGAGATTTCCCTATTTCTGCCCTCTGCAGATTTATGAGCTGTATAACGGTGGTTCGGTGCCTGTGACATATGAGATCCAGACCAACGTCCTGTTGCATGTTCAGGAAAAAAATTTCAATCACCCCATCTTCTGCTGCCTCAACCCCCAAGGGGAGATCCCGCCAGGCACAACTGCTCAGGTCTTGTGGATCTTCTCACCCATTGAGGCCAAGACCTACTCAGTGAGCAGCAGCCTGGGCTAATATGAGGTGGGGGTGTTGGAGTTGGCCTTCTCAGCAGGCCTTGCTCTGACCAGTTCCTTCCCCCACCCTCCTGTCTTCCCAGGTGGATGTGCCCATACACATCCTGGGATGGAACTCAGCTGTCATCCACTTCCAGGGAGTGGGCTATGACCCCCACGTCATGGGGGATACAGCCCCATTCCACAACATCTCCTCGTGGGACAACAGCTCCATACACTCTAGGCTGATGGTTCCTGGACAGGTGGGAGGAAGGGAGCTGGGAAGGCCTGAGGCCTAGGAGGAGGCTGAGGCCCAGGGAAGCCAGTCCAGAGGGATGGGGAGGCTGGGAAGGAAAGGAGATGGAGTTGAGAAGGGAGGGATGCAGAGGGGAAGCCTGAACCAGCCCTCCTCCAGAGTTAGGAGGCAGCACCAGCTCCATGAGAGGGTTACCCTGCCACCTAGCACACACAGGTGTTTCTTCTCAAGCGACTCCACCTGCTGCAGGGTCCGCCACCCACCCTCCTCTCTGGGCGTAGGGGTGAGGGTATTGGAATGGGTAGAAAGAAGCTCTCCATTCTAGGGCTCTGAGGGATTATCTTCATACAGAACAGTCCTCTCTTGGACCTAGATAGATTGTGCTGAAAGATATTTAGGGTCAATAACACTTAGTTCACACACTCCTCACTTTGGAAGGTCTGATGCATTTATCTATCCCCCCACCCATCCATCCATCTCCCCATTGACCCACATGCCCATTTACTCATCTATGTATCTATCCATCCATCCACCCACTTCTCCACCCATCCATCCACCCGCTTCTCCATCTATCCTTCCAAGCTCCTATCCAGTCACTATCCACCCATACATTCGCCTGTCCACTCTTCCGCTCCTACCCTCGTTGGACTCCTACTGCAGGATGAGCACTGTGGAGGTCCTGGGCACACAGAGAAGAGCCAGACAAAGTCTCAGCCCTGGAGGCACTAAGGGTCTGGACAGAGAGAAAGTGCCCCTTCTGTGTGGCCTCAGTCTTTCCAGACACCTACAACACAGCTCCCGTTCTGGGCCCAGTGAAGATGCCAACAGCTGACCACCCGTTAATTTACACCATCCTTCAGGGACTCAAATTATGTTGGCTTTAGTTCTGTCTTCTCTAAGTGAATTTTGATTTCTCAGTCCTTCCAAGCCTATTTTAGTGGTCAAAATCACAGGCTTTAGAGTGAGACTGGGTTTAACCCAGCCAGGCCTGAGAGATCTTTGGGAAAATTATTTATGCTCTCTGAACCTTAGCAGCACATCTGTAAAATAGGGATGATAATAGGACGTATGTCACAGGGCCGTCGGGAGGCTCAAGTGCATGTAAATTGCCTACCATGGTGCCTGGCCTGTTGAAAGCACTCAGTAACTGGTAGTGGTTGCTATGGTTATTATTTCTTCACCTCGCAAAGTTGCTGTTGTGTTGTCTCCAACAACAGAATGTCTTCCTGTCTCAGTCTCATATCTCCCTGGGGAACATTCCTGTGCAGAGCAAGTGCAGCCGCCTGCTGTTCCTCAACAACATCTCCAAGAATGAGACAATTGCCTTCGTCTGGCAGCTGAGGCCTCTAGACTTTGGGGAGGTGAGAGTCCCTTCTGTCCACAGAATCAGAACTTCCAGCAGGGCTCCAGACCCACCCCATGCCACCCCATCCCATTGTGTCCCATCTCATCCCACCCCATCCCACCCGATCCCATCCCGTGTCATTGTGTCCCATGTCACTCCATCCCAACCCACCCCACCCCATCTCATCCTATCCCCTCAGACTCCATCCCATCCCACCGTGTCCCATCTCACGCCATCCCACCCCACCCCATCTCACCCCATCCCACCCCGCTCCATCCCATCCCATCCCATTGTATCCCATCCCACTCCATCCCATCCCATCCCATTGTGTCCCATCTCACCCCATCCCATCCCATCCCATTCCATCTCATCCCATCCCATTGTGTCCCATCTCACCCCATCCCACCCCACCCCATCTCATCCCATCCCATCCCACTCCATCCCACCCCATCTCACCCATCCCACCTCAGCCCATCCCACCCCATGCCATCCCACCCCACCCCATACCACCCCATGCCATCCCATCCCATCTTGTCCCATCCCATTCCTGTGAAGCTCCACAGGCTCCTTCCCCAAATCAACAGGTGTCCGTGAGTCCTGTGAGAGGGAAGGTGGCTCCTGAAGAGTCAATCCCATTTGTGGTGACCCTAAAGGCCTCAGTGCATGCCAGCTTCTACAGCCTGGACCTGGTATGCAAGGTAGGATCAGCCCCAGAGAGAAGCTGGGATGGAGCACAGCTCCCAGTCCTGGGTGGTAGGATAGGCTATGAGATTCCCAGACCCCCAGAGAGAGGCAAGGGCCACTCCCTGGAAAAGTGAGGGGCCCACAGCACAGGCCCAGGACAAGGCCTGGCTACAGGCCCTCCCGTCATTCATCTCTCTCCTTGTCCTGGCCACAGGTGTACCAGCAGGAACTCCTGAAGCAGTACCATAAGGAGCTGCAGGAGTGGAAGGATGAGAAGGTGCGGCAGGAAATGGAGTTCACCATCACAGATAGGAAAGTGAAGGTGAGGAGGGCAGAGGGGGCCTTGAACACCACAGATCTTTCTGATTGGCCTTACTAGAAGGGACAGAGGTGGTGATCCGAGGTGGTTCTACATGCAAAACTGGCCAGCCTGTTTTAAGAGACTAGATTTCTTTCATTACACTGAGCATAGCATCTCCCCAGGAGACTCTGGATACAAAGGTGGCTGACCATGCCCTGCTTCATGTAGCCAGTATTTAAAGAGTGCCTACGACGTGCTGGGCACTGGGGACTCCGGAGAAACAAGGCAGAGCTCACCTTCTGATGGAAGACAGTGTGGCATAGCGGTTTCCAGTGCAGCTCTGGACACAAGTTCTCTGGCTTTGACGATTTCTAGCTCTGTGATCTTGGTCAAGTTATCTAACCTCTCGGTTCCCCAACTGTAAAATGGGGGTAATATGACACCTGGGCTTGGCTTCAAGATAATCCAGAGCGGGGGTATGGCTCAGACAAGGTTTGCTGAGTTGCTAATTGTTGAAGCCGGATGGCGAGTTATGGAGGATTCTTTGTAGCCTTCTCTCCACTTTTGTATACATTTGAAATTTTCCATATTAAGAAGGTTAAAAATAAAAGTTTTAAAAATATTTTTAAATGCGAGTAACATATGATCTGCTTCATAGAGTTATTGTGAGGATTAAGTGAGTTAATATGGGTAAAGTGTCTACAGCAGTGCCTCGCGCCCAGTAAGCATTCATTGAACATGGGCTATTAGTATTGGTGAGGGGGAGACCAATAATAGACATGAGACAAAACATCTGTCTTGGCCCCCCCCCCAGTATCATAGCCTCTGCATGTTGATATTCTTGCACCCCGATCACCTCTGCATCCACCACACTGAAGCCCCAAGGAGACACCTCTCTGCTCTCCTCCGAGGCTCTGGCTCAACTGTGAATACAAACCATGCCTTGAGCAGATAGGAGAAGGGGTTTGCAAATTAAGTCTTAATAAGGAATGCTGTTTCCTTGTCACACCAAACCACAAAGCTCCGGGGCACAAGCTCCCGGGAATTAGGGCAGCCTGTACATGTTGATGGCATCTCCTTCTCTTTCCTTCAGTTGGGTAACCACATTTTCCTTGTCTGCAGGCAGTAGTTCCCTAAGGAAGGTTCTGGAAGAGGGTGTGACTGGGCATTGGGCAGGACCAAGAGGGCAGCAGGTCCTGGCATTGGCTTCAGGCCATCTGTGGGCCAGCAGGAAGGGCAGAAAGAGGGGAGTCCCTCTAGGCCTCTTGCATCCTAAGCAGCATTCTCTTTGCTTCCACAGAGAAGAGTGTATTGTACAGCCTGTGAACCTGTGAGGAAGTACAAGGTGAGGTCATAAGCCCCAGGCCTGTCTCCTGGGGATAACTTGAGAGGGTCCTTGCTTGCTCCCAGAGATAACTCCAACCCCAGGGAAGGCCTCCTAGAAGGGAGTGACAAAGCTGCCAATGGGTGGGGTTACACCCGTATGTAGCCCAAAAGGAAGTGGTTGGGGGACTAGGGACCCATCAGTGATGAGAATGTGGTCCCCAAACCCCTGTCATCCCTGCCTCCCCCTTCCCAAAGACGCTGCCCCCCATCAAGAACCAGCAGCCTCTCAACCGGCCTGCCAACTGGAACCTTAAGATCCCAAAGGAGGAGACATCCTGGCCATGTCCCCAGCTGCCCTCACCAGGCATGCTCCGCTTGGGCCTCACTGCCCGCGCCCATGCCACTGACTACTTCCTGGCCAACTTCTTCTCCGACTTTCCCCGCCACTTCTTGCACCGGTGAACTCCCAGGGAGGGAGGGATCTCCTTCCTCTGCTCTCTGCCCCCTCTCCCACTCCAGAACAGGGGTGCCCAGACCCAACCCTTGCTGAGGGCTTAGAACAGGTGCAGTGGTGGTGGGATGAATGGGGCCCAGGATGCCCCATTACTACTTAGGCCCTTATGAGGATGGGGGCAAAGAGTCAGAGCCCCCTAGGGAACCCACCTAGGGCTCCCCATACCCACCTTCCTTCCCTTTCCAACTTGGAGCCTCTTCAGGTCCTGCACCGACTCTGAGGGTTGGGCTTGAGTCCCCAAATGCAGTAGTGCTACGTTTGGGTTAAGGCTGGGGCTGCCCCAGACTCATCTATGTCTTCATGACTGCATGGCCCCCACCATTGCTTGTGCCCCCAACCCCAGCAGGGTGGCTTCCACAGGCCACTTAGAATGTCATGGCCTGCCCCAGGGAGCTGCCAAAGAGGAAGCACCCCAGAGAGGAGTCGGAAACTTCTGAGGAAGAATCCCTTGACAGTCGGGCCCTTGTCTCCAAGCAGGAGAAGCAGCTCCTGGTTGACTGTCTCACTAGTATCATCAGGTGACCACCCACCCCCTGGACCCTCACCGCCACCCCCCATATCTTCAGCTCATTCAGTCAACTCTGGGTCCACCCACAGCCCCTGAAGTCCCAGCCCTTCCTTTCCTGAAAAATAGAACTTGCTCACAAGATCCTGCCACTGGTGACCCCAGGCCCTCCAGGATGGTGCAGCTCTAATGGAGCTGGCTGGAGGGATCCTCAGGGCTGGGTCTGGGGTTCTGCCTGTTCATGGCGGGAAGATGAGGTCTGGAGCCAGGTCACTGTCTCCCCAGGGCTCCTGCCCCTCATCTGTGTAACTCTCACATCCTGGATCAACCTCCACCATAAAAAGTTCACCTCTAAGACTCCATGGGGCCCAGCGATGCCTGTCTCTAAAGAAGGGTTGGGAGGGGCAACTGACCGATGGCTCCAATCCATCCCCTACCTAGCACCTGTTTGTGGACACAGTAGGCAAGAACCGCCCCTTAGGGAACCCCAGAGCCAGAGCCCCACAGGAAGCTGCCAGGCTTCTCATCAAGGACCTTCTCCTCCCTGCCACCCAGGGGCCTGCTGGAAGACAAGATCTTCCATGAGGCTGTGGACCAAAACCTGGTGGAGCAGATACCTTACTTCTGCCAGTTCTGGAGTGAGCAGTCGGCCAGGTTCATGGCTCAGAACAGCAGCCTGCACCTAGTGCCAGTCCTGTCTCCATCCTCCAAGAGCTGGGAGGACAGCAAAAGCAAGGAGCAGGAGGAGGACAAACTGAGGCTGGGGAAGAAGGAAGCCGGGGAAGAAGAGGAGAAGGGCGAAGAGGAAGAGGAGGAGCTGGAGGAGGAAGAGGAGGAAGAGGAGGAGATGGAAGAGGAGGAGGAGACGGGCAAGGAGGAGCTCGAGGAGGAGGAGCTGGAGGAGAAGGAAGCAGAGCTGCTGGCCTGGGTGGGGACTGAGCCCATGCTGCAGCCCACATCCCAGGAGTCCCTGAAATGGCGGTGGCAGCAGCAGCTGAAGGTCATACTGAAGGAGGAGCAGGAGCAGGACGAGAAGGAGGCCACCAGCCGGTGAGCAGCCAGCCCCGGGGGAGGGTGTGGAGGGGGGTGTGTGCAGAAGGATCCCAGGAGGCGATGGTGTGCTGGGGCCAGCCTCTACCTGTGTGCCGGTCTCTTCCCAACTCAGCGCTCATCCACATCACATTGGTAGCTTCAGGTCCCCCTGGGCGGATTTACAGAATGGCCATCTGAGCTTTAATTTTTTTCTCCAAGACCCTGCTATTAACATTTACTAGCACACCACTTTCAGGAGGGTGGTTATAGTCTTCAAAGTCCCTTAAAGGGGTTTCTAGAGTCAGGAGAGAAGTACCGCCTCTCCTTGTACCTCCTTCCCCTGGGGCTGTTCTGTGGCCACTTTCTGTCTCTGTTGGGATTCCTTAGGCCCCACTCAGTTCCTTCTGCACCCACTCATCACTCGATGCCTTTCCCCAAACCTGGCCCTGGGATAGGGGCTACCATTGCCTGGGTTGGAATCCCACCACTTGTACCAGCAGTGTGACGTTTGGCAACTGGGTCTCTAAGCCACAGTTTGAGCGTCTATAAAATTGGAACAAGGATGCCTCATAGTGTTGGGAGGGCGCGGAGTTAAATGAGAATCCACGCAGAGCACGCGGTGCAGGGTAGAGCACAGAGGAGGCCAGCGGAGAACACGAGCGCGCTTGGTGGCGGCGCTGACACCCGCGCCCCCGCCCCCCACAGGCTCCCGGCTTTCACCAACCTGCAGGAGGCGCTGCTGGAGAACATGATCCAGAACATCCTGGTGGAGGCGAGCCGCGGGGAGGTGGTGCTCACCTCGCGGCCGCGCGTCATCGCCCTGCCGCCACTCAGCGTTCCCAGGTGGGGGCGCCCGGGCCAGCGGCCACGCGGAGGGCGCGGGAGGGGCGCGAGGGGCAGCGGGGGCGGGCAGGCTCGGCCCGAAGACTCGCCCTCCCCCCCACCTGGGGCTTTCTGTCTTCCAGGATTCCGACTCCCGACCCGCTGCCGGTGGCGCCCCTGGGGCCGCAGCAAGCGGAGGTGCCCCACCCGGTGGCGCCGCCCCCTACTGACTCTTTGCAGACGCCAGCGCCGACTTGCCCTAGGTTCCGCCCGGCCCCCTCTCCACCACCCCGCCAGTAAAGCATCTAGCCTTTTTGCTATATCTGCCTTGACTTTATTTCCCCGACGCGGGAGGAACTCGCGCGCGCGCTCTGAGTGGGACAGATGGTGGGAGCGACCGAAGTAGACTGCAGCGACTCACTGGAGACTTAGGGGCTGGGAGGTTGCGCCTCCCCGCTCCACACCGCAGCTGGGCGGGAGTTCGCCGCCGCTCGCTGCCGGGCGCTGGATCTGGTCTGCCCAGCGGAGGGCGCTGCGAGCGGCCCTGGCTGGCCTTTGCCCCAGCGTAGACTGGTGGACAGGAACTGAGCGCCCGGCCTGGTCAGCGCGGCAGGTGGCCACCCCTCCCCTTTTTCCGGCGCGCCGCGGCCCCTCCACCACCAGCCTTTTCTCAGCGTCTGCTGAGCTCCTGGAACTCTGCTAAGAGGTTGGGAAGGAAGGGAAGCCGAGGCACGTCGCAGAGGGCAAAGAACTAGACTCGGGTAGAGGTCACTGTTAGACAGCGGGCTACAGACCCTACTAAAGCGACTTCCATCGTGAATCTGAATCCCCAGACCAGGGGATGTCCCGCCTTCCCTAGGATACTCACCTCCCCGCTCCCCCTAACCTCCGCCAGCAGCCTCTGTCCTCTGCTCCTCGGCTCCTCCCCCTCAGAGGCAGGTGGGTGGAAAAATGACATCTGGTGTTGTTCCAGAGGCGGCCAGGTCCCCTCCACCCTCCCTCCACCCCCGCTGCCAAGGCCTGCGAGGAGCTCCGGCCCCAGAGCCCCTGCGGGGGCAGGGCGGGGGTGGGGGGCGCTCCGCCTCCTCTGTGTCAATATTTGCCCCGAGCAAACGGGCGCCCGGACAGGTGTGAGTGTGTGTGTGTGTATGTGTGTCGAGGGGCGGGGACTGAACGGGCCGTATAAGAGCGCGCTGAGCTCAGGCTGCGGCACAAGCTCCGGGGCGGGGGCTGGGGACGAAGCCAAGCAGGTCCGGGCTGGGTGGAGGGTGGCCAGGAGGGGAGGGGCGGGCCAGGCGCGCACCTGTGGTGGCCGCCGCGGCCGCCGACGTGTCAGCCGCAGATGCGCGCAGGTGAGGGCGGCGGCTAGCGGAGCGCTGTGCGGCACCGCGCTCGCGGAAGACCAGCCCCAGGAGATCACCGAGGGCCACCGCCAGGCCCCGGGCCCTCCGCTCCCGCCCCGCGACGAGCCCCTCGCACAAACCGGACCTGAGCGTTTTGTTCGTTCGGCTCGCGTGAGGCAGGGGCGGCCTCTCAGCACCGCCCAGGGGCCCGGTCCGATCGCCACGCAGGCACCTGTCGCCGCCGCCGCCGCCGCCATACGGGTCGGAGAGGCTGTGCGCCGCTCCCGGGGGGGATCCGGCTCCCCTCCGGCCCCGCCCGCCCTGCCTTGTCCCGCCCGCAACTCCTGGGCTGGGCGACTCGATTCCGGGTAACAGGGGCCGGCCGAGCAGGCTCCGCTCGTAGAGGGGGCTGTGGCCCAGAACAGGAGGCCTTCGGAGGTGGAAACCCGGCTTCTAGTCCCAGCGACTCTGTCCCAGCGACTTCTGTGGCCTTGGGCAAGTCATTTCCTGGCCTCTCCTCGGTTTTCCCATTTGCACAATGAGGGGCGGTTGGCGTGGCCACCCGCGAAGGCCTCCCCAGGCGCCAAATCTTGGTTTCTGGGCTGCTAGCAATACGTTTGAGCCCCCCTGACCTGACCAGCAGATGGAGGCCCTCAGGGGGTTGGAACAACAGCTGTGAGGTGTGGAAAATGAAGGGGCCAGGGCGGGCGCTGGAACCACGATAGAGAGCAAGTCCTCTCCTCCAGCTCTCTTTGGTGCTGACATCCGGAGGGTTCACTCCTTGCCATCTCCCTGGCCCCTCTTTCAGTCTTCCCATGTCTGAGACAGACAGACAGTCAGACTGATGGAAAAGGACAAACACAGGGGCGGGGGGAGCCCTTGCCTGTTGGAGGCCCCAGGCACAGCAGCTTACCGCCTTTCCCAAACTTCATAATCCCAAAGCCTCTGGTTTCAGCCAGCTGGGGGTGGCGGAGGGTCTGAGTGGCCCTCAGCTTAGGCGGGAATCCATGGGTCATTAGCCACAACCCAAACCTGGGACAGATCATCCCCCTTCCCAGAGACTGGAAGTGCTAAGATCTGACACGGGGAGGGGACGGACGGAGATTGCCCCAGACCCCTGGCCTCCTGCTGGGAGAGCCTAGAACTGAGGGCTCCCCACAAGGCCTAGAGTCAGCTGAGCCCCTAGCGGAGTCTCTGTCCTGGGATACCAGGTGTCCTCCACTCCTCCTCTCAAAATTGCTGGTGATGCTGAGCCAGCCCCAGAGGGAGGAGCAGGTTGTAGGCCCGGGTGGAAGGAAGGCTCCTTGGACAGCAGTAAGACCTCCAGTTTCCCCTTAGGGTGAAGCAGCGTCGTGGGGAGGGACTGTACCCCCACACACCCAGGTGGAGGCAGCCCCCAGGGAGATGGGTACGAGGGTCAGGAGTCACTGGTCCCTTCTGGCTCGAATTTGGATGTTCCTAGAGGTGCTGTTTTGTCCCTTCCACCCCCCCTCCACTGCCACCCCTCACCCAACAACCTTCAGGCTCCACGGGATCTGCTGAGTCCTAGGTGCAGAGAAACAGAGTGGGAGGGGATGAGATGGCTCTGACAGATCCCAGGCAGATCTGGGGAGAGGGTGGACTGCAGGTGGGATCTGCACGCAGCAGCCCTGGGGAAGGGGCGGAGATCCATGGGTCCCCAGGCTGGGGTACGTGCAGCCCCCATCCTGGCCTCCCAGACCAGGCTTCTGTCATGGGCCCAGCCCTCTGCTCCTTGCCTGGCACTGAATGATTTGCCTGTCAGGGGCCTTGCCTGGCACTGGCCTGTCTCCCCTGTGTCTTTGAGGGCTTCGTCTCCCCTCCCCCAATCATGGAAGGAGACTAGGGCTCCCCCCCTCTAGCTGGGATTCCAGATCTTGGGGCTGCACAAGAAAGAAGCCTCCCCCTGGAATGACCCCCACAAACACACACACAACAGTCCTTGGTGGGGGGTGTGGGGGGCAGCGGGGAGGAGAAAGGAAAGAGGCCATCTGTGGGCTGGGGGTCTGCCCTTAGGACAGAGAGCCACTGCCCCTCCCCCTAGGGCCTAATTTCCCTGGACCTCCATGCCCCCATCCCCAAGACCCGCATTTCCTGGCTGTGGCCAGGGTTCCGGCCTCTCCTCCAGGTCCTGCCTCCCCTGCCTGGCCAGGGGCGGAGTCTCCAGGCGCCAGGCAGGCCTGCAGGTGTGGGGCTTGGAGAGGGGGTGCTCAGCAGCTGGTGTTCGAGGCGGCCCCTCCCCCCTCCCCTTCCTGCTCCAAGCCAGAACCTGCTTCCTGTCATCCCTGTCAGCGCCCGGCGGGGGAGGGAACAGGTAGTCGAGGAAGCGGAAAAAGGGACTGAGCAGTTGGCGTGCGGGCAGTGGTGGGACTGGGAACCAGCCAAGGAGAAATGAAGAGGGGAGAAGGATGAGGATGAGGGCAGAAAACACGAGCAGAAGGACAGTGGGGGCAGCCCAGAGGAGTGTGAGAACCACAGGGAGATTTCAGGGCCCAGAGAGAGGCTGCAGGCCCCTGCCCGCCAGACAGTGCAAGTGAGAACTAGAGACCAGAGACAGAGGCAGAGACAACCAGAGAGAAACCAGAGAAGAGGACAGAGACAGAGAGACACACAGAGATAATTGAGATAATGAGAGATGTACACTTCAGGGAAATGGAGGGATTTGAAGATGTGGGGTAACCAGAGGCAGAAGGACAGTGTGTGGAGGGAGGGGGACTCTGTGTAAAAGCAGCCTCCGCCCTGCCCCACACTGGGATGGGGAAATTACCCCCAACAGAGGAGAAAGAGGTGGCTTCTGGGTGGGCTGCAAATGGGACAGCCAGGGCTGGAGGTGGGGGGGATACCCCTATCTGGGGAGCCCCACCTGTCCCCATTAAAGGGCAGAGTCGAGGTTGGACACTGGGGGCTGTGAGCATGAGGGGCTTGCCTCTGACTCCATCTCTCTCTTTCTCTCTTGGCCACAGCTGGACAGACCGACAGCTGTGGCAGCTGCCCTGCCCCCACTACCCACCCCGCTGATTCTGGCCCAGCCTCAGAACTTGTGGGTGTGGAGGCCACCCAGGGTCCCTGTGAGAGTGGGGGGGGCTTGGGAGTGGAGGCCCTGGGGGGGGGCTCGTACCCAGGTGCTAATCCCCATCCGGCCAGGGCAGAACCAGAGCCTCACTGACCTTCTTGGAGATTAGTCCCCATGGTAACAGTGGCAACTTGCCCCTTCACTCTGGCTAGGCCAGGTGTCTGTGGGGGGCGGGCAGGCAGAGGCTGGTGGGGAGGGCAGGGAGTCTTCCTGAGGCATCACAGGATCACAGGAGTCAGGCCTGGGAGGCCCCTCCAGGATCAGCAGGTAGCTTAGTTTCCAGGTACAAAACTGAGGCCCCAAGAAGGGGAGTGACTGCCCAAGGCCACATGTAGAGCCAGGAAAAGCACTGGGACCAGCAGTCAGGTCCCCGGTTCCACTCCCAAGCATTCTTTCCAGGAGAACAAAGGAAATTGGGATACCCCTCACCCCCAACCCTCCCAACTCTCCCAAACTGAAGTCGTTGGTAGAATGGCTTCCCATCCTGAGTGCTAGGCTGGCTTCCCCAGGGCAAGTGTGGGAAGGGGGATGCAGATCCCAAAGCTATGCTTGCTGCTCTGACCCCTGACCCCCACCCAGCCCAGCCCCGGGAGGCGGGGAGAACCACGCAGCAAAGCCAGTTATAACCACAACCAGAACCACGGTAATAGCCAACATTTATTGGGTGCCTACTGCAGGCCAGTTCCGTGTTTTACATGCATTTAAATCTTCACAACAGTTTTTAAGACTATCATTCCTGTTTTACAGAGGGAAAAACTGAGAAGCAGAGTGCAAGTTCATCCAACTTATAAACGGTGGAGCTGGGATGTGAACCCAGGCAGCAGCGTGAGCCCACACTCTCAGCCCTTTGGTGTCTGTACCATCATGGGTGGGTGGCTGGGACGATCCCCCCTAGGTGACCGTGGAGTGGGATGTACGCATGTGAAATGCACAAGGGCATACTCATGTATGACACCAACACCCAGCACAGTGCCTGCCACATAGTACCTCTTATTAAATGTTTGAAGAATAAGTACATGAACAGATGTCTGTCCGTAAACGAGCGTGATGCTGAGGTGGCTTTGTGTCTGGGTGAGTGGGTGGTGGTGAAAGCTCCCTCCCATTTCCCTGGATGGTGGCCAGTTCTCCATCCCCACTGGGGACAGAGAAGAGGGGCTCTGTTTATAGTGGGATGGGACAATGGGTCTGTGCGGGTGGGGCTCCTGCCCCCTCAGGATCCACCTCTTTCAAGCCCAGCTGTCCGGACACTGCCTGAGCTGAGCTAGTCTCTCACCCGCCTTATCTCTGTCTCCCAGGAGACCAGACCTCACAGCCCCAGGGAAGCTGCTCCTCTGCCTGTTCCGGGCTCCAGACCTGGGGTGGGGGCGGGGAGTGGAGGAGCAGGGCTGCAAAGGAGGTCTGGTGATGGTAGCAGGGTGGAGGAGGGCCCCACTCACAGAATTTGCATCTTCAGCCACCAAAGCCCTGACTGATTTCCCAGTGAAATGAGGGGTGGGGGTGGGAGCAGGCGGACTCGAGGAGAGCACATTGGCCTCTGCGCACCTCTAAGCCGCCCAGCAGTGCTGAGACGTCGGGCTGTTCACGGGCTAGGGCTCTGTCTGATGGAGATGTCACTTCTCTAGGGATTCTCAGGGCCTTTACCTGAGATGGAGACCTGAGTGAGAGCTCAGGAGTGGGTTTGAGGGTTCCCTTGTGGGATCTACACGTTCCCATACCAGATGGCGGTCTGAGTGGGACCTAAGGGGTTTCTCTGTGTGATCTTAGGGTGCCTTATGGGATAAGCATTTTGGTAGAATTACGAGGTGGGGGGGTATCCTGAGGATTTCTCTGTGAAACCAGAGGTCATATGAGATGAAGGACTTGATGGTATCCGGGGAGGGGGGACTCTCAGAGGATGATGAGACCCCTATGAGATCTTGAGGTCTCTTGGAGGTGTAGGTCTGGGGACGCTGTTTGTGTGTGTGTGTGTCTGCCTAACTCCCCCCTCCACACCCAAGGGCCGAGGCTGTGAATGTGGAGAAGGTAGGGGTGAGGGCGCTGAGCTGGCAAACAAAGCCACCTGTGCATCCATCCTTCAGGAAGCTCTGAGCGCAACTGAGCTGGGAAAACAAATAGGGCCAGCTGCTGGGGGGTGGGAGGGGGCTAGAAGGGGGCTGGGTGGAGGGAGGCCTGGGGCTGGAGCTGGACCAGCCTGGTGGAGAAAGGAGGCTGGGAGGGGGTCCACAGTACAGAGAGGGACAGGGGTCCCAGAGTCCCATTCTGGCACACCAGCCAGGGCAGCCTGACAGCCCCTTCCTCATCCCCTCCCCCAGTGGCTCATTTTTCCATCCCTGTTGACTATGAGGCACAGAGCCGGGAAGGGGTTTTGGGGGATATGGGGACCCTGAGAGAGGTCTAGAGTCTTCTGGGCAACTGGCTGTTGGCAGTGTTGGTGGGTGTGCCCATTTCTGAGAGAGCTGGTGGAAGACAGCTAGAACTAAAAGCTACGGTCTGTAGCGTAGGGGTGGTGGGACCTACACACCATTTTCCTGATAAGGAAACTGAGGTAAAGAGGAGAGGAGAGGCTACTCCTGCTACTTAGTGCAGAGCCAAGATCAGAATTTAGGACTAGAGGAGGAGCGGGGGCCCTTCCCACATGCAGGGTCACCACCCCAAATCCCAGGCCGGCTCCTCGTGCTAACTTGGATCTCAGCTGTACTACCTTCCCACCACTTCCCCCCAGCCTTTGTACACACACACACACACACACACACACACACACACCCTCCTGCGGATTACAGTCCTCTGACCAACATCTGGACTGGAAACTGCCCTCCAGGTGGAGGCCCGACCTCAGGGGCATAGCCAGACCCCCTGCCCCAGCTCCCGCAAACAGCGTCCAGCCTCTGACAGACACCCCCGCACCCTCGGGACTAACACCCGGCGCCCGCGTCACGGAGCAGTGCAGACGCACAGCCTGACGCACTCGCCACCCGCGCCCGCTGCCCCTCCAGACCTCAGCCTCCCACCAAGTACCCCTGCCACCCCGCCCCACTGCGCCAGCTTTCCACCCAGCGCGGCCCGCCCGCGCCCACTGGTGGCCTAATCCAGAATTGCTGGAGAGGGATGGGGGAGGAAGGGAGAAGGGAGGGAAAGAGAGATTCGGTCCCTCACCTCCCACCGCTGCCATAGCCCCGACTTGTGAGACCAAGGCAAAGGACCAGGACACGAAGAGTCCAGGATTGGCTCTTGCATCCCTCCGTAGTTTGCATTTCCCCCTTACGGTTTGGGGAAATTATATCCTATTTGTGTATGTCCAAACCCTCTCTAGGGTAGGGAGTTGGGGGACTGGGCACAGTTCTGACCCCATCCCCAATCAAACCTGGCTGTGGTTGTCCCTTCTCTGACTCAGACCCTCCTAACTTGGACTCTACTCCCCGTGTTCTAGGGCCCTGTTCTTTTGGCCTTCACCTTCACGCATGTCATGATCCTCAACAGCAATTCCTCACCAGTAAAAAGAGAGACCCAAGGGAGCCTCCAGCTGCCCCCAGCACCTGTTCCCAGCACCCCAGAATTCAGGGGTGGGGAGGTTGGTAGGATGGGCAAACCATCACCGCTCCACTCTCGTTGGAGAATTTCCTCTACATTCCCTCCTCAGGGGACATTCAGCCCAACCTCACCCCTGTGGTCACTCACTCATTCAAGTTTTATTGAGTGCCTACGATGTGTCCAGTGTGCAGGGTGCTAGTTTTGAGGATAACCACTGAGGACAAGACTGACACAGCCCGTGCCCCCTTAAAGGGAGCTGACGCTCTGGTATAAAAGGAGACACTCAGTACACCCATAAACAAAAGATGAAAAAGAACTTTATAGAGTGATAAATGATATAAAGAAAACAAAGTGATACGATGGACAGTAAATGCAGGGAACAGGGTCACCAGGAGGTAATAAAGGAGCCAGGTGTGCCAAGATTTTGTGACTAAGACACTCCAGGAAACGGGAAAAGTGAAAGCAGACTCTGAGATGGCAATGAGCTTGTATTTGGGGGAAAGGATAGAAGGCCAGCAAGGCTAGACTTGCAGGAGCTGGGGCGGCTGCATGTGGCCTGTTTGCCCTTTTCCTCACAGGAGGTTGGGTGGCTAGAGCACTGACTTTCTAGTCATAAGGTCTATCTTATACTCTTGCTCCGACACTGGCTAGCTCTGTGAATCTGGACAAGGCCCTGCACCTCTATGAGCCTCCACATCTGTATCCCCAAAGCTACCTCACTGGACTGTTGTTGAATCTATAAGGAAAGCATTTGGCTCATGGGAACAACAAAATATTAGTTCCCTTCTCATTCACCCCTCCACTTCTGCTGGAATACCCTTTCCGTTAAGTAAAACTCACAATTTTGCCAAAAAGCCTTTGGGTCTCGAGAATTCTGCACATTATGAGGAAATGTCCTCCCTGGCGCTTCCCTTGGGGCCTCAAGCCTCTTCTCCTCCTTCTCCCCTCTCACCCTTCCCCTCACCACACTCGGCATTGGGATTTGGGGGCAGGAGCCTAGGGCCTTCAGTAAAAACAGAAGCCCTGGTTCACGGCTCAGCTGGGCCACTTCTCAGCTGTGACACCTCCTCGCCAACGTTCTGGAACCCTTCTGGGCCGCCGCTTCCTCTGCGAAATGCAAGGCAGTCGCGGCGCCTACCTCACCGGGTCGGGGCGAGAATTAGCTGAGCGCACGCACGTAAAAGCCCTGAGCAGAGCGCCTGGCCTGAACTTCAAGGCGCTCGGTAATCGGCTGCTAGCTCTTAGGCAGACGCCGGGCCCGGAAACCCCAGACCCTGGAGCTCCGTCTGGCGCTGGCAGTGCTGCGGTTCCGGCCGCGCTCGGGTGGAAACTTTTTCCCTCCCTACCTTCGGGAGCCACTCCCTTTGTGACTATTATTCCGAAACGCTTTGTAAATTCGCGCTCTCCCTGGGGAGGTTCACGTTTCCTGCGCTCGGCGCCGCCTTGCGGTGAGTCCTGGTCATCGCCTCCTCCCGGTCCCTCCGGGCAGGAAACTCCGGGAGCGCAGCGCCGGGTGTGGAAACTCCAACTTGTGAGGAACCGGGCATGAATGGAGCGATCCTCCAGGAGAAGAGGACTGAGGGGCTTGAGGAAAGTGGCCTGCAGAGAGCCTTGTCTATCCTCTTTAGCGTCTCCCCCTCCACCTAGGGCCGAAGAAGAGGTGTTGTTTAGAACCTGGGAAGAACTTCCGCGCCTCAAGCCAGGAATGCGCGGTCTTAGACCCCAGGCGGCCTGGTACCTCCATCCCTGAGGGTCTGCGCCAGCGACGGCGCGTTCTGTCCCGAGGTCGGGTGCGCCTGTCCTGGGTCAGGCCCCCCAAAAAAGAAAAAGCGGAGTCAGCCTCGCTGCGGCGGGCACAGGACGTGTGCCTCAGCACTTTCTATTGTAATCCCCGAAGGCTGGGGCCAGATCGGCGACTGCGGGAAAGGCCTGTGGCTCCCCAGGGGACACCAGAGCTGACCGCAGCCTGCCCGCTGACTCAGCTCTCCCCACCCCAGCGGGAGAGGGTGCGGGGAGGGGGGCGAGGCCTGGTATAAAGGCCTGCACGCCTGGCCCGCGCGCAGCCTCTCCACTTTCCGTCTGTAGTGCGCTCACCGACCCGGTGAATACTCGTGCTGGGGCGGGGTCTCTTCGGGGCGGGGGAGGGCGAGATGAGGGAGAGCCATTTGCAGTCCCGGTCCAAGTCAGCCCGGGTCCAGCCCCCGGGTCCTTTATCCCTTACCCAGGTTGGGCGGGCCGGGGAGGGGGCTCGCTAGAAGCTGAACACTTGGTCCTGTCCTTGTCGTCCGCAGCGGCATGAGCAGTGCCCCCGCGCCGGGCCCGGCGCCCGCCTGCCTCACGCTCTGGGACGAGGAAGACTTCCAGGGCCGCCGCTGCCAGCTGCTGAGTGACTGCGCGAACATCGGCGAGCTCGGAGGCCTGCGCAGGGTGCGCTCGGTCAAGGTCGAAAACGGCGCGTGAGTGATCGCCCCGGCGCAGCTGGGTTGGGTTGAAGGGCGCCGGGATCCCCTGGCCCGAGCGCCGAGCCTGGGACCTCAGCTCCCAGTTCTCCGTTCCCCAGACTGTAAGCTCTGAGAGAGACCCACCAACGTGGGAAATCGCTCGGCCTCTTCCAAACTCCCCACCCGCTGCAAGACGAATCGTGGGAAAGAATGTATCCTCGTGGGAGCTGAAGGGATAAAGGGGACAGGCGACCCTTAGCCAGTTCTCCGTGGGGCCAGCCTGAACCCTGAAGAGGTTCCCAGTGTAGTTATGTCCTCCCCAAGTTTTTCTCTGTGCAAAATTAGATAGCTCTGCGCCTCGTTTAACAAAAGAGGCCAAATCGCTTCCACTCTCCCATTCTGGTCAACTAGAGCCTGGGGCCCTTGGGAGAGCTGAGGCCTCCGAGCCACTGCAGGTTGCTACTGCAGGCAAGAAGGCTCCTACGCCCGCCTTTGCAGGCACCTAAATCCTTGATGTAGGAGTGTTTAGTCGGATGATCTTCATAGCCTGAGAAATTCTGTCCAACCTGGGGGCCTTGAGCTGGAAACCCGGGGCCCTCAAACCCTGGATAGCAGCTAGTTTAGGGTCTTTGGCCTTTACAGGGGCTTGGTTGCCATGTGATGGGTGTGTCAGGGGAAGGGCCTGGGGTTGGAGAAAAATATCTGTTTCTCAGTCTTTTCTATCACAGCAAGCATGGGGGAGAGGGAGGAAGGAGTGAGGCTGGGGCAGATGCCTCCCCTCCCCTTGTCTTTCCCCAGTTGGGTGGCCTTCGAGTACCCTGACTTCCAGGGACAGCAGTTCATTCTGGAGATGGGTGACTATCCTCGCTGGAGCGCCTGGAGCGGCAGCGGTGGCCACCACAGCGACCAGCTGCTGTCCTTCCGGCCAGTGCTCTGCGCGGTGAGCACGGTCCTCCCCCTCCTCCTCTGCCTCCTAGCTACCAGCTCCAGGACCTGGCCCCACCATGGCACCCCGGGAAGGCCGTTCACCCACTGTATAGGGGTGTGTAAACCTAATTCCCAGACGGGTGGTGGTGGCGTTACTTCCCAGAACCAGAGGGGTCTCGGAAAGTTCGGAATGTGGGCGTGAGCCAGGTGCAGGGGATCAGCACCACGGACAGCGCCGACACCACGCCAGGCCTGAGCACCATTGGTTCCTCACGTCCAGTTGTCCATATGCGTGGGCGAGCACCTCTGTCATCACACAGCCCTGTGAGGTCGGGTGGCTGCTGTTAGCCCCATACACAGGTGTGGAAATGGGGCTCAGAGGGGCAAAGTGACTTGTCCCAGGTCACAAGGGTTAACGTGAAGATGAGAAGAGGGTCTGTGTGTATGTGGGGGGGGGGGGAGGGTTGGTAATGGATCAAATACACTGGAGGGGAGGATTTTGCTTCCCATTTGTGCTGACCTAGGTACCGTACTGGGGAGGCCTGGGGCTGGGGAGTGGAGGGCAGAGACCAGCTGTTGACTCAGCCCCACTTCTCCGTTCCCTGCAGGAGCCCTGCAGGGGGAAGGCCCTGGGACTATGGAAGCCCAGACTCAACCAATCCTGATGCCCTGGTCTGTCTGTCCTGACTCTGCCATCCAGCACCCCTTAGCTAGGCCCTACCCTGGGAGAGGCTGTGCCCAGGGTGCTGGGCAGGGGGGTGGGCAATCAATGAGGCCCTTAGGGAAACTGTCTTTGTTAATGGACCAGATTTCTCTCAGTACTTCTGATTTTCTTCCTGCAAAACAGGTCCATGTCACAAGATTCCCTCTAGCCCTGACCTGGAAGGGTCTCTGAGAACCCCCCTGCTCTCACCCCCCAACCCAAAGCCATAGAAGGGACCTCTGAGCATCCCAGCTTCCCAGACTGCTATGGAGCTGAAGGAGTGAACTCTGGGAGTGCTCGTGGAGCCTAAGTGTCTGCACAGCTTGTGTGGGGCAGTGGGATGGGGGGAGTGAGGCTGAGAACATATCCATTAACATTTCTTTGGAGACCCTGACCTGTCCACCCCCACCTCCCCATGCCTCAGAACCACAGTGACAGCCATGTGACACTGTTTGAGGGGGACAACTTCCAGGGTTCCAAGTTTGAACTCACTGATGACTACCCATCCCTGCCCTCCATGGGCTGGGCCAGCAAGGATGTGGGTTCCATCAAAGTCAGCTCTGGAGCGTGAGTGCTGGGACTGGGAAAGGGGAGATGAGAAGAGCAGGGAGGCAGTGGGGACCAGGGAGGAGGGTGGGAAAAGTGATGGGGCACTAAGAGACATGTTAAAAAGAGATGTTGGGGACTGGGGCACAGAGGGAGGGGAGGTGATGGGAGACTTGGAGGCAACGGTAAGTGAGATGATGAAGAAGACAGGGAGGGAGAGAGGGAGGCAGGTAATAAGAGAATAGGAGTCCGCAGAACAATATGAGGATAGAGGAAGGGATTGAAAACATGGATGAGGAGGCAATGGAGGTGGGAATAGGAGACAAGGTGAGAAAGGTGATAGGAAGACCTGGAGCAGTGGGCGGGGCAGGGAGAGAGCCACGTGGGGAAAACTGAAGCAATGGTTTGTTGAGGGGGTGGGACCTGAGAAAGGAGGACTACTAATGGAGGACATAGGTAGGGGTGGGGCAGAGCCTACTTACCACCCCTGTGCCCTTACTGGCCTAGGTGGGTGGCCTACCAGTACCCAGGCTACCGGGGCTACCAGTATGTGTTGGAGCGGGACCGGCGCAGCGGGGAGTTCCGTACCTACAGTGAATTCGGCACGCAGGCCCACACTGGGCAGTTGCAGTCCATTCGGAGAGTCCAGCACTAAGTTCCACGGCCACAGCACCTCCCCCAAGGATGCTCAATAAAGGCTCCTGAACCTGCCTGCCTCTCTTGCCTCCTTGGTATCTTGCTTTGTGATTTCCATCCTCATCCTTCTGAGGGACCCTCCCTGCCAACCTGACCCTCCCCTCAGGCTCTGGGACCTTTGACTGTGGAGAATAAACCGGCTTAGGCTGTCTGTGGCTAGACTGATGGGGCTGAGAGGAAACTGCTGGTAAGAATCTTGGAGATCCTGTTAAATACAACCAGTCCCACATCTCTTCTTGGTAAAAGCCCATCAGCTTAGCCCAGATGGCACCTTTGCCATCCTCTGGTTGGGGTGCACACAGCCCCACAGCAGAGGTCATGGCTGAATTGCAACCTACACACACACACACACACACACACACACACACACACACACACACACACACGGCCCCAGGCCAGGCACAGCAGGATAGAGCCTCCTTAACTCTAGGCAGGAGCTCTCTTGGGCTCCTCTCCCACACCCAGGGCATTTCCAGCCTTTATCTTCCCCCTGGCTCCCTCTCCAGCCCAGGGAAGCTGTATCCCTTTCCCAGCTTTATAGAATCTCTGCCTTAGAAAGGAGCAATGCTGTGAGAGGAGGAATTACTGGGAAGTCTTTCTGCCTCCCAGGGTCTTCTAAGGAGGGAGACCAGCCCCTTTCCTTTCTCTGAGCCAAGCTCCCAGACCCTTTGTCTGAATTATAACAATCTCTTACATGGTCTTGAGCTCCAGTATTTGCAAAGCATCTTCACACCCCTCCTCTCTGCTGTTCCAAACAACTCCCTCTTCATTCTTCCTCTCCCTCCATACTCTCCAGAGGACTGGTGAGCTGGAGAGGCTACTGCTCAGCCACTGACCACAGTGAGCCTGGCTTCTGGGGCAGGTAGCAGAAGCCCACAGCCATGGCAGGGCTGATGGTAACAGCTATCAGAGCCTGTGGTACCAGTGTAGTTTTTTCCCAGTTCTTTCTTTGGCCCAGTTAATGATACCCTCACTCCCACAGAGGCAGGGCCTCCAATGCCCTTGGGACTCCCCTCATCCTGTCCCTCAGGGATGCTTATGTTTTCAAGCCCCCAGTGGTCCCATCAATGGGGAGGGGTGGCCCAGATCATCGTCCCAGCCTGGGGCGGGGCAGGACTCTGTTGGAGAACAGTCAGACTTGGACCTGGGCAGTCCCTAGAGGCCTGGCTGTGCAAAGTCAGGCAGCTGGTCCCTTGGGAAGAGCCCTGGACCAGAAGTCAGAGCACCTGGGACCCAACCACACAGCATCCTTGAACCTCAATTTCCTTGCCTGTAACCTGGGGTTACTGATCCCTGCCTTGTCTGTCTCCCAGGATTGCTGCGAGGATTCAATGAGAAACCCCTGCAGATGCTCGTGTTGTTATGGGAAAGCACTGGGGCAGTCAACATAGGGCCCTTCTTCCCCTGCCTCCCCCATGGATCCCAGGGTTGGGTCAGGGGACCAAGGGACAGAGCTCTAGGTGGGGTATGAATTCTGTTCTACACCTGGATGGGTTTGAGAGTCCATGGCCCTTGTTGCGTTTGGTCTCCCTAATATCTTCATACTTCGTACTTTTCGCCAATGAAGAAACTGGGGCTCCTCTGAGAAGAAGAAGCCTTGATGAGGTCACACACTTCATTTGTGACAAAGCCAGGACTCGAACACAAGGCTCCTGACCCCAAATCCAGGCTTTAAGTGACCCGAGCTGTGGCTAAAAGCCTCCAGCAGACCCCAGAACTTTGTGGGCTCCAGAGGCGCCTGGGGTTCCTGCCTGGTCACAAGCTCCTAACTGTCCCCTGGGGGATGACAATAGTAACAATAGCTAAGGCATAGAGCCTTGTCTGAGCACTCAGCGTGTCATATAAGCCTCATAATTCTGTATGGTAGGTACCATAATCCCCATGTTATAGACGAAGAGATAAGGTACAGAGGTTACGTAACTTCCCCTAAAGTCACACAACTAGGAAATAGGGGTGCCGGAGGTGAACCGAGAACCCAAACTAACCTCAGAGTCCAGCAGCCCATCTCCCTACCGCCTGCTTTGGTGGGTAGGCAAAGGGCAAAGGCAGATCTGGTATCTGCTGTGTTTGGCTGAGCTGCTCTCCCTCCAGGAGGGTCTGTGGCTGCCAAGAAAAGTCAGCAAGATGACTTCAGGAGCTGGCAGTGTGACCCTGAACAAGGCACTCTCCTCTGTACAACAGAGGAGTTGAGGGAGCTCGTGTTTGCTGCGGCCATTGCCGGCATGAATCTTCTAGGTTTTTGCAGACCCAGGGGTTGCATTTTGCTCCCCATACTGGCAACTAAGGAGTGGGGGCACAGAGGCCAGGCTGGGCCTGAGTGTTTTCACCTTCGCATCCTCTTCCCATTCTGGGGAGGCTGATGGTCTGCAGAACCCCAGTGCGTGAGGATGGAGGGAAAGCTGCCTGGGACTCTCCCATTGGCTGTGCTCAGCCAAAGGCTAAAGGGCACGGAGGAGGTCATCTCATTTCTGGCACAGCCAAGACCCAGGTGGGGGGGACACCCCTCACCCCCAGTACAAACTCCTCCTGGAACCCACCCATCCCTTCAGCACCTGAGTCCTCAGGGAGGTGGGGGCACAGAGCTGCTAATCCTTCACCAGTTCAGAGCTGGGATGTTGGCTAGACCCCCCACTCTGAGCGCCTCTCCCTACTGCCTCAGCCTTCCGCTGAGAGCATTAAGTGGGTGCACCTTGCTGCTTCCCCACTCTCCCAGCTCTTACATCCTACTCCTCCTTTTCTATCTGTGGAAGAGACAAGAAGGGGGATTGGGACCTCAGCTCCACCCTGAAGGCCCTCCCCTCCTGGGAAGCCCTGAGTTTGGTCCCCAGGGAGTATCCCAATCTCTCGTCTTTGCTCCCACCAGATTCCACGTCCACACCTTGAAGCCTGCATGCATCGCTGTCCCTTTAGGATCCTCTAGGGTCCCGGGATGCCCTAATTCCCCTCAGACCCTGCCTCCCACACTCCTCCTTGGCTCCTTCAGGCCTGTGCAACCTCCACCAGCAGGGACGAACACTCCAGCAGTTACAGCAAGTGAGAAAGGAACAGAGGCCCTGCAGAAGCCCCACAGTTGGACTTTCCAGCCATCCTCAGTCAGGCCTCCCAGGACCAGGGATCCTACAGGACACCTGCCCACTCCAATCCATGTGCCTGGAGTCCCAGGCCTCCTCACCTCCTGGGCTCAAACAGTGGGACAGAAAAGCCTTGAGATGACCAATTCTGACAGTAGTCCCCTGGTGCTGCAGGGTTGCAGGTGGGCTCTGGGGCCAGAGCCTCAACTTCAGCTAGCATCCCTCCTTAGCCAGCCTCTCAGACCCAGGAAGCCCTACAGGTACCCAGAGACTCCAGGCCACATGGGAACCACATCAGCTTTGCTAATAAAACAGTCAGTGTCTTTGCCACTTTCTCAGAGTGGATTTCAGCCTCCACTCCCCCTGGGTTGGGGGCCTTGGACAGTACACAACCCTGTTTTAACTCCTCTACTCCAGCTGGAGCAAGGTGCCCATCGCAATCTGGTTCAGGGCTACCCAGGATGGGAGGAGTTGTGAAGGTAGGTAGGGTAGGCTGGGATGACAGAAGATAGGGAAGGATGGGAGAGCAATAGTTGGGCGGGGCGGGGGGGGGGCGGTTGGAAGCAGGATCTTGAGCCTACCATATGCCACAAATTAGTGGGGGACAAAGGAAGATGAAAGGAAGAGAAGGAGCTAAGAACAGAGAGGGAGAGAGGAGACAGACGGGGAGATGGGAATGAAACTGAACAGAAGAAGGAGAGACCTAGAAAGGAAAGGAGGTGCGACCCACTAGAAGTTGTGGGGAGATGCCCAGCAGAGGCCTGGGAGCCCTGGAAAAGCAGGAAACAGGGGATAGCAAGAGGGAGACGGGGAAGGAGATCGGGTCTCCAGGGAAGAGCAAAGAGTGGGAGAGGAGGAGGAGGGAGAAGGTGAGGGGGGTGCGGAGATAAAGGGAGCGACGGCTGCCTGGCCGGAGCACAGAGACAGGCGAGAGGGAGGGAAGCGGAAATTTAAAAGTGAAGATGCAGATAACGCAGCCTGGAGACGGGAACCCGGGTGGAGGTGGGGGGAGAAGGGGGAGGAGAGTGGAGCGGTGAGGGAGGTGGGAATGGGCGGGAAGGAGGGGGCTGTGGCCCCTGGGGTCTGAGGTGGGGCCGGGTACCCCGCCCGGTCGCTGTTTGCTGAGAGTCAGGAAGGCGGAAAAGAAACACGCTCCCGACCGGTATCAGAGCGCGAGGCCCAAGCCCATCCCCCGCGCGTCTCCCGGGCTGCGGGGCGCGGGGGGCTGCCGGGTGCGCTTGGCTGCGGCGCTGCTAGTCGGAGACTTTATTGCGATGGGGCGATAAGAGGGGCGGAGGCGGGGTCCGGGGGGCCGAGGCGGCAGCGCTTTAATTAAAACGGAAATTGCGGCCCCTGCCCGCGCTGGGGGCCGGAGGGTGCCAAGCAGCACCGCAGCTGGGAGCATCGCTTCAGGACCCCCTCCATCCCCCGCCACACCCGGGCTGCCCCCTCCTGCCAGGCCCTACCGGCCCGGCGCCGTCTTCTCCCTGTCACCCGCAGTCGCCTGGGGCGGGGATCGGTGCCCTGGAGCGCAAAGCCTGACGCGTCCCCCCCCTCATCCGCACCCCCCCACCTCCCACCGCCCAGTCCCTGGCGGCGATGAGACAGAGCGGCGCCTCCCAGCCCCTGCTGATCAACATGTACCTGCCAGGTACCAGGGACCAGCCGGGGGCTGGAGGCACCAGGACCCGGGGAGGGAAGTCTGGGGTCGGGCATGGTAAGGGGATGCTGGGGTCCAAGGGAAAGAGGTGAGGTCCAGAGACTCGAATTGCTGGGAGGACTGAACAATTTAGGGCATTAAGGGACCTTAGAGGCAGATGGAGAGCTTCGGGGTTTTAGTGTGGGGTCTAGAGGACTCGAAGTGAGCAGATTGGGAGGCCGAGGGCGCCGGCTGTGGGGCTAAAAGAGCCTGGTAGGGGGAGCAAGGGTCTTCTGCGTGGCGTGGGATTCAGTGCGCGTGAAGTGTTGGGAGGCCGTGGTCCGCCGGGCGTCGCCCCTGCGCCCTGGTGGCTCCTCACCTCCGTGTTCCGAGTGTTCCCACCGGCCCAGCCCTCCAGGCGCCCTCCTGTCCTCTCCTCTCGATGGGCTCCGCGCGCTCCCGCTTGGCTGGCGCAATACCCGCTCGGCTTTATAAGGCTCCCGCCGGCCCGTTCGGAAAGCGGATTTCCTTTTTCCTGGACGCGTTTCCTGACTTGGGCGTTATGGAGGGGCTCTGCGCGGCGCGCGCCCGGGCCGGGCTCCGGGAGGAGGAGCTGGGCGGCTCGGGCTCCCAGCCTGGCGCTCGGAGACCAAGGCACCGGTCTAGAGCCTTGGCCGGGGGCCATTTCGGTCAAGCCCACAACCTCCGCCCGGGTCCGTCTGACTGTTTTCTCCTGCTGTCACAGATCCCGTCGGAGACGGTCTCTTCAAGGAAGGGAAGAGCCCGGGGTGGGGGCCGCTGAGCCCCGCGGTACAGAAAGGTGAGCTGGCCGGCGGACTAGGGGCGGGGGGCGAGGACAGTGGAAGGGGGGCCGAGACATCCACCCCAGAATGACGGCGGCCACCACCACCCGGACAGAGGGTAGAAGCCATGTGCACGCCGGGCTCTGGGAAATGGAGGGTCTGGCATTATTGTTGGGAGACTGGGGTGGGGGTGAGGGTGGACGTGGGGTGGCGGGGAGGGACATTCACTCAGCCTTGGGCTCCTGCATCTTTTGAGTCCCGGGGCTGCACTTGCAGGACAGGGCAGTCGCCGAGGATCCTGGCCCCTCGCCCTTTTCAGCTGCGAATGGTTTCCCCGCTGTGGGGCTGAGGCGCTAGGCTTCCTTTCTCTGCTGGCAGCAAGAGCGCAAGGCCGCGCCAATGCCAGACAAGGGGGCCCGGATAATTACTCCCTGGCCACTCCAAGCCGTGTCACCACTAGCACCGGGGCCAGCGCCTACCTGCCTCACTGGCCCCGTCCCGCAGGGCTCTGTGGGCCAAGTCCGCTGGTCCATTGCAGTTGATTCCCAGGTTCGCCGCTGTTGCTCGGAGGGTCACTAAATTACCCTCGGCTTTGCCTTGTTGGTGGCGGAGCCTGGCTGGCCTTTCAGGCAAAACCTCCTCACAGCCCCTGACCCAGTCGGTACCTAGATGTCACCAAGTTACAGCAACCATAAAAACAAGGTCGTCAACTGCTTATCCAAAAGGGAGCACGACGCCAAACAGGAATGGGTCTCTAAGCCTCTGACGTCTCTCCCAATCAGTGCAAGCCTCATATTTTTACCCAAACCTTCCCTTGCTTCTGACTCTAAGACTCAGCGCTCCCGACCTGGAGCCAGGCAGCTCCCTGCTGGGCCGGCGTGGAGAGATTGGGGTTGACATTATGATGGAGGGCAGCGTCTGGGTTCTGAGCGAGTTGTTGAAAAAGGAAGAGAGGTTCACCAGGCTGGATTTGAAGCAATGATCAGACAACTTCGAGGAAAATCCATTTTATTATAAAAGAGTGTGTGGGGGGGAGGGGCGGTAACTGTATCAAGATTTTTTTCTCCGCTTGGCTGACTGAGGCTCCAAGACAGGGAAGTGAGAGTTCTGGGGCATCCCGCTCTCTCACTGCCGGCATATCTGGGAAAACCTCCTTGCCACTTCCAGCAACCCCGAAAGCCAGACGGGGCATGGCCAAACATGGGAGGAGACAGGGAGCCATCACAGCAGCTTCCCAGTCTCATCTCCTCTCCTGAGAGCTCTACATCGCCCCAGGGAAGTACGACACCTTCGTGGGCTGGGAATCCCGCCTGTTTCGAAAAAATAGAACGAATATAAGTAGCCCCAGTGCAGCGCACTGCGCACCAGACAGTGGTGGAGGTGGGGAGCCTTCAGAGGCTGCCCTCTTACACATAGGGGGGCACCGTCCCCATTCCTATCTGTCAGTGGTGCAGCCAAGATGCCAGCCACCACTTCTGCTCCACCTCAGGTGGGCCTGTCCAACTGTATGCCTTTGGGGCCTGGGCCTTGTCCTCCCTGATCCCACCTGCGGCTGACCGCCTCCCTCCCCACAGGCAGCGGGCAGATCCAGCTGTGGCAGTTCCTGCTGGAGCTGCTGGCGGACCGCGCGAACGCCGGCTGCATCGCGTGGGAGGGCGGCCACGGCGAGTTCAAGCTCACGGACCCCGACGAGGTGGCGCGGCGCTGGGGCGAGCGCAAGAGCAAGCCCAACATGAACTACGACAAGCTGAGCCGCGCGCTGCGCTACTACTACGACAAGAACATCATGAGCAAGGTGCACGGCAAGCGCTACGCCTACCGCTTCGACTTCCAGGGCCTGGCGCAGGCCTGCCAGCCGCCCCCCGCGCACGCGCACGCCGCCGCCGC